AGCTAGCAGCAGAGCCGGAAAACCCTGAGTCACTTTCAGACATTTCGGGGCTGTCCAGGAGGAACTGAGACTTCTGCAGCAGAGAGGCCTGAGAATCTGGAACACACAGAAGGGCAAATTGGAAAAGTCACATTGGAGCAGTCACTTGTGCAAAGAGTTTGAAATCTTCTCTACTGATGTTCTGTGAATTCAGGTCACCAGTTATGGCAACTAAAGTCAGAGAGAATGTGTATGAGTAAAGTCACACACAAGAATTACTTCCTCTGTGCAGAGAGTGCTCGATACCCTCATATCTCTTTCTCTCTCTCCCTCTCCCTCTCCATCCCCCTCCCTCTCCCTCTCCATCCCCCTCCCCTCCCCCTCCCCTCCCCTCCCCCTCCCCTCCCCCTCCCCTCCCCCTCGCCTCCTCTCCCCTCCCCTCCCCTCACCGTCCACATGCACATTGTAGATAACAGGTACACATGCTTCCAAGGACATAGACATAGTGCTTACCTGGACTGGTATGAGCCATACTTGGAGCTGACACATAGTCAATATGCCTGGACATTTCCTCCGTGAATGCTCTGCCAACATTGCTTAGTAGTGTCCTCTTGGCTTGCGGCTCCAGAGGCAGTGAAGAAAAAACTACAGCAGCTGCTGCCAACTGTGCCGTGTTTTCAAGGTGGACTGACGCTGGTTGCTGTGTACTCTGCTGCAATGCAGTTCCTCTCCTAGCAGCATTACCATCAGCTGTAAAGCTGCCAGTGCTAGTGTTAGCTGAGCTGGCAATGGGATGTGTTGGAGTGGCTTGGGTGGATGCACTCATACAGGTCTGGCTAAGACCAAATGTAGTCTCTGCCGTGGTAGAAGGACCTGACATTGATGATGGTGATCTACCAGTGGAGGAGCAAGCTAAGGCTGCACCGGGCTGCAGAGCAATAGGCGGTCGTGCACCTGCCATAGTACACAAACACACAGACATGTCCGCATCCACAAACGGATTATATTATTTCAGGCTGCATACATTATATGAGCATGAAAACACTCAAACATCAAATTCCATTGATTAAGAATGCTTCCATGGTGATTGGCTGGTGCCAGGACACCTCAGTTCATACCATTCTGCGAAATCGTTCAGGTCTATTTCTCATTCACCGTAAAGCTGATGAAACAGGATGTAGAAACTGTATGGATGGCAGGGGTGACCTGTACACAGTCTTACTATCCGTACAGTATGACATGCAGCAGCTATTGCTATAGCCAACCTAACTCATCGTGAATGATAAAGCTGTGGGCCGTGATCAGTTTACTCCAGGCCTTAATTCTTGTTTTTCATTGCCAGTGCTGCCAACCTTCCGTATTTTTATGTATGGGTATGGAAAATCACTCCTTCGTCCGCAGTACGGAATTTGAGCAAAATGGTACTGAAATTTGAAGAGGATCGACCAGCTACAGATATGTATGTAGATGCATGGTGAGTGCAAGCTGAGCGATGAGTATCCCTATGCCATAGCAAGTGCATACCATGCTTCGACTACATGTAGCACAAAATATTTTGTCGTGGTACAGTCACACGTGCTTTGCTAGCAAATTCAGTCACCGACATGCATGTGGGTGTCAAAAAAGCACAATACAAGCAATGCACATGGTAGTACATCGGTAGCACGGACAAGCACTGAAAAACACGGAAAATCAGAAGTCGCAAAACAGACCGATTTGGTTCGCAGCACTGCATAACCATAGGAATTGATTTATCAGGTTCGTCTGACACACTCCTGGACTATTCCGAATTACACATAAATAATATAAAGTACACGGTAATACGGTTGTACTCCTGTTTCTGGCGTTCATTGCGACCATGACCATCACTGCAACTTCCCGTAACTTCTTACGTTGCTTCCTGTCGCATCCCCTTAGAATGTCAGCTAGGCAAAACTTACCTGAATAATGGCAATGATGAAGTGCTGGTACAGCTGATACTGTGGCTGTTGCTTCTAGTTTTGACTCTGCTGTTGCTCCATGCGCACGTTCTGGCATTGCCGTTCCAATTGGAAGCCTTGCCTGGAGTGATGCTTGAGGGGTTAATACAGTTGCTGATGAAGCCACTGCTAATGCTCCTTCCATTGCCACTGCTGCTGTTGCTGCTGCTCCTGCCATTGCCCCTGCTGCGGCTGCTGCTGTTGTTGTTGCTGCTGTTGCTCCAGCTGCTTCTCCTCCCTCTGCTCCTGGTCTTGCTGCTGCAGTTCTGCTTTTCATCGGTGGGCACAGTGGTGCTACTTGCTGTCCAAGTGGCGATGTACTCGTTGTCCCTGGAGTGGATTGATACGCTGCATATCCTGATGAGGGAGCCGCTGCTGTTGGGTGGTCTTCAGTTGGCATGGTTACAGTTGGGTCTGCACTGGTTGCTATGGTGTTGGCTGACTCTGGTTGCCCAACACTGGATAGTAATTCTGGTCAGGGGACAAAATGAATACAAAGAAGGAAAATAGAAAGCCCCACGGTCATGACATCATAATGATTATTCCCAAGCTTCAGAGAGTTGACTGCCACCGCCACGACTCACCGATACCAATGTCTAATCCGATACCACAGGACTGGCAGAAGCAGTTTCTTGATTCGTGTGGCCATACCCTAGCCTTTTTATACTTTGTGAATGATCTGCTGGCCACCCATTACCTAACCAGAACGGAAATACACTACAAGGCTAAAGAGACCAGCAATGGAAATCTTCTTCTGTGCTGTTAGTTGATAGAGCTTGTATTGTGTGCAGAACACAGGTATAAGGCATACACAGGGTAACATGCACAGACTGCTGATAATTCACAGAACGTTCACTACACTAATCAAAACAGCATCAAGTATCACCTTGCTCTGGGTTAGCTACAATACGAAGCATCTCCAAGTGTCGGTCAAAGTAGCCCATTTGGTGGATCACTGAACATAAGACCTGATAGGATTTTGTCTCTCCAGGGCAAAGTATTGAAATCAATTGTGCATTGTGTTCAGCCGTTCCCTTTTGGTCTTGTATCTTCCTCAAACGTTCCAGTTGGTCAAAGCTGATTAGTCCTTCTTTCTGAACTAGACGACGAAGCCGATCAGGGTCAACATCTTGTAACCACACGTGAATTTTGGAGACAAACTCCATAGTTTTGTATGGGTTGCCTACAGAGAACAAGGCCAAAAATCAAAGAGAAATGTGTCAGCTTCACAAGCACACAAATCACCACACGTGTATTTGCAATGGGAACTTGAAGAGCTGGACAACCCGCTACATCTATTTCATCACTTTTCGAATAGTGACAAAAAAGAATTCATTTTATGTGCGGTTTGTATGTAACATGTTTGATTTGGGCAGCAAGGTATATTTAGCCCTGGCACACGCTCAATATTGACATAGTGCTGTGAGTGGTGCGTGTGCATGGGTACGGCGTTGAAAGTACAACCAGTTGTGTGTCTGCATTTATGTTTGTGCACATGAATGTGTGTGTGTGTGCGCGCAAGCAGCTGCGAGTGTGTGTAGGTGGAGGTGTGCCTGCAGGCCTGGGTGTGTAGCCGTGGGCCTCGGCTAAGCCATACCTGGGTTCCTATTTTGAAATGGTTCTAGTAAGTATTAGAGTGTGACATTTTTCCTGGTGCTGCCCCGAGACCTGTTAATTAATGACACTAAGCTGAAAATATGATTTTCACAAGATTGGCCCGTATCAGGTTCTGCATCTCAGCTCTTCACTTGCAACCTAATGTCGTGACTAGCGACCAGCCTGGTACTACAGACCACTTTGCCAGGCACGGACGGACTCACATTCATATTAATTATGGTTGTGCGGTGCAAACCTCTAACTGAGGACCACCTGCCACTAAAGACCGCTTTCTCTGGCACCAAGGTGTGGTTGTTAGTCACAGGTTTTACAGTAGATATATTGGCAGACTGACAGGCTTGCCGACAGGTAGTGGATGTATTTACGGACAAGCAAGAGGGTGGGAAGTCTGACTGACAGATGACTGGATGGTTGGAGGGCTGGGTCTCTGGCTTCAGGGCTGGCTAGATTACTGGCTGGATGAATAGATAGCTGGCTATAGTGACGCATAGATAGAGGTATACAATGTACCTCGATGGATGAATGCATGGATGGAGGGATGGAGGGATGGATGGATAGACGGGTGGACTAGTGGATGGAGGGATGGATGGAGGGATGGATGGGTAGTTGGAGGGATGGGTGGATGGATAGATGGATTGATGGGTGGATGAAAAGATGAATGGATTGATGGATGAATGGATTGATGGATGGATAGATGGATGGATGGGTGGATGGGCGGATGGGTGGATGGGTAGACAGATGGGTGGGTGGATGGATAGATGGATTGATGGGTGGATGAATGGATGGACGGATGGATGGATGGTTGGATGGATGGATGGATGGGTGGGTGGTTTGTTAGATTAGTGGGTGGATGGATGGATTTATAGCTGGATTATTGGAGAGATAGATGAAGTGAATGAGTGAGGACATAATAGTATGAGATGGAGGGATGATGGCATGAAGGGCAGGAGCGTTGGAGGGATGATGGCATGAAGGGCAGGAGCGTTGGAGGGATGATGGCATGAAGGGCAGGAGCGTTGGAGGGATGATGGCATGAAGGGCTGGAGCGTTGGAGGGATGATGGCATGAAGGGCAGGGGCGTTGGAGGGATGATTAAACAGGCGGCCGGAAGGACAGATGAATAAATCGATGGGAACGATGATGGAATGCCTTAATGTGGGGAGGCAGATTGATTTTACATTCTCCCAACTTGAACTTTACTTACCTGCCATCTGTAAACCTTGCTTGGTGTTACATTCAATAAGCAGTCAATAGAACTGTAGAAAGATAGGGGAAGAATGCAAACAAAGACACAGCTAAGTGTTTTTTCTATGTCAATGCAGTGCTCAGAACAACAATGGGTTGAAATTCTTTACCAAGAAGGTGGAACGGTGTTTGGCTTGCAGCGTGACCTTCACGCTATACCATCATAAGGCGAAACAATTTATTTTTGACGTTAACATTATTCTGCCTGAGCAGGGGAGGGAGGGCACCTAGGTAGCCCTGGGTCGCTGGCTCTTCAGGCATATATTGGACATGTACAGTGCATGAAAAGGAGTCTGTAAAAAAACACCCTCTGGACCCCTTTGGGTATGTCCCTGCTGGAGATAGCACAGTTCAAAACTCCAGTTGCAAACCAAACCTCTTTCTGTACTCTTTGGCCAGACAAAGACAGGCGGATAAACAGACGTATAAAACGACAAGCAGCAAAGACTACAGACACTTTGTCAAGAACAAAGACAATGGAGACAGGCAGATGGCAAGAGATGGGAGGACAAACAGGCAGACAAGTGGAGAGAGCCCGATATCCTAGCTGCGTCCGTGGCCACGTTGTTTAATGCCTCGCTTGTCAATGGCACTGTCCCCACAGCCTTCAAACTCGCACACGTTATCCCGCTGTTCAAAGCTGGGGACCCGTCTATTCCCACTAACTTCCGTCCAGTGTCCCTACTTCCCATATTATCAAAACTCTTGGAGAAAGTCGTACAAAAGAAGCTAGCCCAGTTTTTGGACATATCTGGTACCCTCCCCACGACTCAGTTTGCATTCCGCGCAGGCCACTCAACGGAGGATGCCCTGGTACTTATGCCAAATCGTATTCTTAGTGCACGGGACAAGCGTTTGTGTACTGGCATATGCCTTCTAGATATGTCAAAGGCATTCGACAAGGTTCGTCATGAACGGCTACTCCAGGACCTATTCGATATCGGCATAACAGGGACAGCCCTAAAGTGGTTTTCCGCCTATCTGTCGGGCCGTACTCAGCGTATCTGTATTGGACGGGATCAGAGTGCCATTTCTGCACCATCCTGTGGCGTGCCACAAGGTTCTGTTCTAGGACCGATCCTTTTCAGTATCTACACCCGCGAAGTTCCAACCATAGCTAACCAGTCTTCATCAGTTCAATTTGCCGATGACATTGCGCTGATCAGCAGCAGCACATCCCTGGACACGGTATCTGCTACGCTATCGGCCTCGGTTTCTGCACTTGCTGACTGGTTGCAGACCCGTGGTCTCATTTTGAATGCAGCCAAGAGCCACGTGATCCCTGTATACCCCAACAGACAGCCTCAGCAGCCCCAGCATACGATCAATGTAAACTGTCATGAAACGCCGATTCCTGTCGTTACTGTGGCCAGGTATCTTGGAGTGCTCCTCGACTCGGATCTGTCATGGACGCCCCATGTTGATCGCTGCACCGCTCGACTGGCCCAGAAGATCGGAGCACTATGGAGGTTGCGTCGCTGCTTGACTCATCAGAGCCGAGTTCTCTACTTTAAAGCGATCATCATGTCTGACCTGATGTACGGATCCAATGCGTTTTCCCCGCTTCTTACTGCCAACCAATTGGATCGGCTACAAGTCATGCAGAATCGGGCGGCAAGGGCGGTTTTCGGACTCTCGCATCACACCTCCGCGCGTACCCTCCTGCTGCAATTGGACACCTACAGAGTATCCGAGATATTCAGGCAGAAGTTCATCGGTCTGGTCTGGAGGTCTCGGAATGAGCACGCAAGTTCTGAACTGCAAGCCCTCCTAGTTCCTTCGTCAGCTGGCCCAACTAGGTTGCACTCCACCATGGGTCTGCGCCAACCGCCAGTTTCCACCAGGTTCGGCAAGGGTTGCCTCGCGTTCCGGGGCGCCCAGCTGTGGAACACATTACCCAGCGATGTACGTGCCATCTCCACGCTCCGCCAGTTCCGCGCCAGCATGATCCCGCACACACTTACTGGCCTTAGTACCTAGAGTACCAAACGTCCTGTTTGATGATCAGCTGGCTTAGTTTTTCTCCACCTCTATCCTAATTACATCAGTCCCCAATTTCATTTATTACTGCTTTCTATCTGCATTCGCCACCTTTTCATTGGGCAGATCTGCCCGTTTGGTTTGCGAATTAAAATAAACACAACAACAACAACAAGAGAGAGAGAGAGAGAGAGAGAGAGAGAGAGAGAGAGAGAGAGAGAGAGAGAGAGAGAGAGAGAGAGAGAGAGAGAGAGAGAGAGAGAGAGAGAGAGAGGGAGGGAGGGAGGGAGGGAGGGAGGGAGGGAGGGAGGGAGGGAGGGAGGGAGGGAGGGAGGGAGGGAGGGAGGGAGGGAGGGAGGGAGGGAGGGAGGGAGGGAGGGAGGGAGGGAGGGAGGGAGGGAGGGAGGGAGGGAGGGAGGGAGGGAGGGAGGGAGGGAGGGAGGGAGGGAGGGAGGGAGGGAGGGAGGGAGGGAGGGAGGGAGGGAGGGAGGGAGGGAGGGAGGGAGGGAGGGAGGGAGGGAGGGAGGGAGGGAGGGAGGGAGGGAGGGAGGGAGGGAGGGAGGGAGGGAGGGAGGGAGGGAGGGAGGGAGGGAGGGAGGGAGGGAGGGAGGGAGGGAGGGAGGGAGGGAGGGAGGGAGAGATTGAGAGAGAGACCAGACACACACAGAAAGACACAAAGAGAGATAATGACTGACAATGACAAGCAAAATATCAAATTGATGAGATATCAATATTCAGTTGGCTGCAGATCAGCCCCTCACTGGTCAAGATAGGACATTCTGTAGCAACATGAAGTAACATTGATCCCCCACCCTAACTAATGCTAGGCCACTGTTTCTCCACGGCATCAAGGGTCGAAGCTAAAGTCTGCGTACTGTAAGCATACAAATTGTCGGGGCTGCAAAATGTCGGCAATTCATGATTTTCGACATTAGTAGTAGTAGTAGTATTCTTTTATTTATAGTGGAGAAACCAAAACAGGCAGATGCCTAATAACAATGGACCCACAGGGACATATTTTCGGCACAGTAAAAAAAATAAAAAAATTATAGTGTCCGTTCCCAAAGGGAACTAACGACGGTCGCTAACACCCGGTAAACCCTAGCGGCAGATGCAGATGCAGATTTCGGCACAGGGTTACCACTATACTACTACAAAGCCGGTGTTTAAATTTTCATCGGCGTTTTAATTTCGGCGATTTGGATCGATGCCGAACGAGAGAGCTTGGAAGCTCAGGGCCCTACGCTATGCTTTTTTGCCTTGACGGCCTAGGCAAAAAAAACATAGGGATGTTATAAATTTTTCGAAGTAGTGGTTGCGACTTCGGCGATGATTTGTAAGAAAGGTTTGCTCCCCACACCGGAGCTCGCGCTATTCCGCCGACTTTACTTGACACTTGACTGACTCACGACTGCCATCCAGAGCACACGAGAAGTCCATCGAACCTTCGACTCGGCAAACCTGCAAGAAAGCACCACTCCCTGCTCAATACACAGTGTTTCGGGGAATTCACCCCTCATCAGTTGAGCTTGAGTAGGCTGAGGAAGATTGTGCCTGAAGAGCACCACTTATATAGTGCTCTCCAGGCACAAACATCACCAGGGATACAAACTTAACAGAGACGCTCCGCTTCCAGCGCGACAAACACCTCGTGAACACCAGATAGTAGCGTGAGTCAGTGTCGCTCCTGGACGGTGAGACAGACGTCGAGGACCCTCGGTCATTCGCAACGCTGTCACCTCCAAACCAACTAGTCGCAAGCCCATATATATATAAATTTTTCATTTCTCCTATTTTTTCAAGAAATAACCTGGGATTCGAACCCGCACTATCGCCCTGCATGCATCCCCCGATACACTTCCCATACATGCTAATTCTTCCAAGTTGCTTCACGTTATGATCTTGCATTTGAAAGCCCTATTTGAATATGGTGGCCAGCTGTTTGTGGCCAGCCGTCTTTGATGGTACGGTACGGGATAGGTCCGGTCGAGGGTAATACGACACCGTCTACCACCTTGATGACCTAGGCAAAAAAGCATAAGGATGTTATATATTTTCAATTCTCCTGTTTTTTATCAGGCATAACCTGGGAATCGAACCCGCGCAATCTCCCTACATGCATTACCCGATACATTTCGCATTCATACTCATTCTTCCAAGTTGCTTCACGTTATGATCTTGCATTTGAAAACCCTATTTGAATATTGTGGCCAGGTGTTTGTGGCCAGCTGTCTTTGATGGTACGGTACGGGACAGATACGGGATAGCGCCAGACAGAGGTCCGTCCGCCACAAACACCAAATTAAAGCAGTGTGGACCCTGGCTAGTGCCAGACGTTACTGAAGTAACGTCTTCTGCATAGCTACGGGAATAAAGCCGAAATCCAAATCGCCGAAATAAAGCCGAAATTAAAGGGGAAGTTAAGCCTAAAATCAAATTTTCACCAGTTGTTGTAGTTGCTGTAGCCTTCGGGGTGCTGAGTCGAATGGTCTTGGTCCGAGGCAGCTGATACCCTTCCTTCCGCCTTATTCGCAATCGATTTTGCCGCTTCCACCGAAACTAGGTGACTCCACCCTACTAGATGGGGATTTGTATGCAAAATGTCACTAAAAGCACCATTTCGTCCTTATAAAAGCACGTATGACCGCGTTTGGCGCATATGTTGTGTAGTCTTTTTGGGTGCTGAGTCGACTGGTTTTGGCCCGAGAAGGCTGCGATGTAGCATTCGGTGCTCTGTCCCAATCGAACAAGGTGGAACAAGTGGTCACATGCTCATGCGTACACAAGTCGTCTGGTCACCGTGCCTGCAGGCTACAACTTTCACACCAAGGTTCAACTCGATTCACAGGAACGCGCCAAACAGGCTAATGGGGCTGTTAAGTGATGACGTCACAGTTCCTTCGATACGCATAACAACGATCCCACTGGGGACAAACAAAAGTAGCGTCGTCTCCACCGAACCAGTTGTCAGTGGCAACATATAGGAATCGTGTACATTTCTTCGTTTCTTCTTTGCTGTTTTCAGTGAGTGTTTTGTTTTCTCTTTGTCCTTGATCTCGACGATGTTGTCGTGCTCATTACCTTACTGAGACGTCTCTTGTGACTGTAGCCAGTGTCACGGAGGATTTTATTGGCGTGACAAGGTAGATCGCCGAGATCGAGCGTGAAAAACGCTCTGCATTAGTACCTCCTGTAGAATGTTTTCTGGGATGGCGTATCCATGGTCAACAAAACCAAGGTGCAAGACAGCATGAGAGATCGTGTAAACGATGTGAACTCCAAAAGGTAAGCTCCTGAACATGTGGAAAGATATAGGTATTTACAAACTCTCTCTTCATCCATCGATTGCCGCTATGCATTGCATTTTGTCTTCACAGATAATCTGGCCAAATTTATTGTAACTAGAGAGTGCAATCGTGCTTGGGGCCCATCCCAATGTCATCACATGGCTGTGGTGACTAGTGTATATCTGGGAGAATTTTTCCTCGACTGATACGGAGTGCAGGTGGATCGATTATGAGAAATGCGAACATGTGAAGTAAGTAACTAGTTGTGTCGAACAAATGTGCAATAAAATAAAATTTACTTTACAGTCAAACATACACTGTAGATGTACATGTAACATCATGATAATGATTCCATCTTCATTGTCCCGCAACTGGTACACCATACGCACCGAATACATGGTGTGTGTGTGCGCGCGCGCAAGCGTGCGCATGTACATGCACACACTCTCATGCGTGGCTGAGTCGGCCAGATGAACAGACCATGCATTTGCACGAGGTGTCCGTAATGTCATTGGAATGCTGTACTTTATGACTTTATTCCAAAAGAGTATGTCTTGCCCCTGACGAATGGAGTTGTGTCTGTGCTCAGCGGGTATCGGGCTATGACGCAACACTGCAATCAGCGCTGCGATTAAAAGAGCACTGCATGGATTATTTTGACTAACTTCCTTTGCGTTTACTTGGTTGAGCCCGTGGTTTCATTTCTGTGTTCTGTCATGATTGGCCTCTGGAAATAATCAGAGTGGATGTCATTTTGCCATATATGTGTGCCTTGTGCGACAGGTTCAAGGCTAGATGCACTTCAAATTCGGCGTGCAATCTCAGCGTCTAGGACCTGATGAAGTCTTGGTTGGATGATTATTCAAGCCTGACACTACTCGACACACCAAAGTACATGTCAATGTAATTTTTTCAGAGCTGCACTATTTACGTGTTGATGCTTACTTCGGTGTTAGCGTGTTTCCCCCGGATTGTTTCTATCATCATGATCGTGTGTTCTTGGGCTGAGCGAGCACATGCACAAGTGTGCAGCTATAACCCTGTGTATCTTTGGTTACACTTTGTTCTGCAATGCATGTACCTTGTAACATTATGTGCTTGCACTGATTTGTCTGGCCTGCGTATTTCAAGACTATTCAGTGCATTAGACCCAGGTTTGTTTGGTTGCCGGATGATCTCTTGTTGCGTCGCTCTGTATTTGTATTCATCAATTTTCGGGCTTGAGAATTGAGCTGTTGTGTGGTTCCCAATATGAAAACATCATGCTGGTGCTCTGTGTTTCGATTATCGACTGTCGGAGCAGTCATGCATTTATTAGCAGAACGGTCAATACTGTAGTCTTTTCACGTGTTTGTCTTTTCGCCGGGGGTATTAGCGGTAACGCTGCACACAGAACGGCAGTGTTGCATCACTGGACGACCCTGCCTCTGCATCTGACTTAATTTCCCCAGGATCTGGTGCAGTTACACCAGACAGCCACTTCCTGTAAACACGCAAACAGCAAAAGAAGAGATCCCGCAAATCAGGAAAAACCATTGTGGAAAATATAGAGTAGATCATACAACATTCAATAATCTGGAGTAATTACAGTGAGACAAACACTTCAAACAGTGCTCTCTCTCTCTGTCTTTCTCTGTCTCCATCCTTCCAAAAATACCCTATGACAATTCCTTAGAATTATTTCATTTTATATTCTTAGGACATCATTCAGAACATAATAAATTCTTCCATGGGTCTTCAATCACCACAGAGGGCGAAAATATATCTAAGTCATGCAGTTCACGGGAGGTGCGAGCTGTCATGGATATAGAAGCTGATATTGTGCCAGCGTGAGGGCAGAGACAGAAAGAAGACACTGATTTCTTGAACAACTCACCTATATATAATCGAATCCACAAGGAGCGCTCATACTTTGATCCATCAGGACGCGAAACATCTTCAAAGCACTCTCAAACACGGAGTTTTACTGTGGGCAGCCAATTCCACAGCCATCATGAAGGCACTCGACGACTACAGGAGTTTTGTAGAGGAAAGAACAAGGAGTAAAGAGCGACAACAATCGCTTGAAGAAAAAGCAAAGAAAAACTGCTGTCTCTCCAGTCATTTAGATGCTGTTGCCCTTGACATCTGGTTCCATCCAGAGGACGCGACTTTTGTTTGTCCCCAGTGCTCTCCGTTGCTATGCGTATCGAAGGAGCCGTGACGTCACACTTAACAGCCCCATAAGCGCTGTGCACATAACAAAAGCCATGATCGCACAGAGAAAAGCAAAACCGATTTATTGGGACCTCGGGAGGGGGTGATAAGATAAAAATGTTGAGCGCCCTTTATATGATTACGCTCGGCTTGACTGTCTTTCTGCTTGAGTCTTGAGTCAAGTAAGCTTGTTGTTGAGCAGTGAATGAAACGTGGCTTGTAATTACTAGTGTAGTTTCTATCTACACGATGTCAGAGATAGAGTTTTCTTCTGAACCCGGGGTCATTTATGCAGGCTAGGAACAATGTTCTGCTAGGAAAGCAGGGAAACATGACCTCGACGAAGGCAGGAAAGATCAATAGGTAGGCTTCGCTCTACGTAATTACATACGGAAATAACGTAGCAACTGCACGTGATTTTCATATGTAAAACCAGCGTTGTTGGGTTTCGCACTACGTGATTTTCCACGACTGTGAAGCATGCTTTTTCTGTGTCGGAGACGTGTTGACTGCATGCGTGCACCGCATGCACCAAGAACCGAAACCACATTGCCCATGTACTTTTTGATGTGTACCTTATGTTTTGCGCGGCTTGAACATTGCGAAGGATAAATCCGGAAAAAGGAAACAATTCAGCAAGACTTAGTCCTACGGAGGACCGCACCGACGAGGGATTTACGTAGGAAAGTTGCACTCACTCCCCGGCACGTATGGCATACGGATTTTCATGCGTAATTTTGTGCGAAACCTCCCTGTTGTCTTATGAGCGAGATAAACTCCTGCACCAAACGCTGCCCGAATCGGCCTTTCTTTTAGCGTGAAGCACAGGAGACGCACTGATCACTCCTTCATCTGGAGAGCACTCGCATCGTTCTTCTCCATTTTGCCGATTTATTTATTTATTTATTTATTCAACATCTTATGGCTTCCGATGGCAGCCAAAACGGGAAGATGTGGGTGATAGCCAACCATGGTAAAAGAAGGAGAAGATTATATACATGAAAAGGAAACAGCCAAAAAGCTATATTGATTAGTTTTTACTTGCAAGTATTATTATTATGGTGCACTCAGTCATCAGCAGGCCCTCAGATTCACTTTAAATTCTTTCAATGATGCAGAAGTCTTCACTGAGTCGGGAAGTTGTAGCCATGCACAGTAGCCCTGGAAGAATGGCGATCTTGTGAATTGCGTTGACTTGGCCTTGGGAAGAGACATTTTGTTTCTGGTTGAGCGGCCCGAAACTAACCAGTTATAAGGCTTTATATGTTCAGGAACACAACCCAAGAGCATTCGATGAACCAATATACAGAGGCAAGTTAGTCGGCGTTGCTCTAACGGAGTAGTCTGAGCTAATAAGTACAACTCGTTGGAGGGAAAGGAATGGTTTCTTCGAGAACAAAATTTTTAGAACTTTCTTATGATGAACTTCAATGGAATCGGATAAGACATTAGCTAGGCCACACCAGGCTGTGGCAGCATATTCAAACAATGGAAGGAGATAAATTTTATATACAGTCGACCTACCCTTATAACGATATTTGCGTCACACCAAGAAATATTGTTATAAGGGTAATATTGTTATAGGGGTAACTGGTTCATTTCATACACATACGTCATAATTCATGGATAATTCATGGATTTTGTTCTTTTTTACACTCTTCATAGCATAACAAATTAACATACATGCACATTATGTGCACAGCAAGGTGCCAACTGATGCCCCATTGCATTTCACCATGTCCCAACGACTTATCAAGTGAAGCTTGCCCTACCTGGATAGTAGGCTCTACATATTCCCTGCTAGATATTGTTATAAAATGGAAAATGTCGATTGGTCAGCCCATTTTATATCGTTATAGGGGTAATATCGTTATAGCAATATTGTTATAGAGGTAAGGCATTGTATACACAAGTCAATGGAGTGATTTGGTTTGCCAGAAAAATATCGTTATAAGGGTAATATCGTTATAGAGGTTATCGTTATAAGGGTAGGTCGACTGTATAGCGGAACGGCGCGGAATAGAGAGATGTTTACAATGACTTTTAATATAGCCAAGAGCACGGCTGACTTTATTACAAATCTAATCTACATGAGCCGACCAGGACATGGATGAATCGAACATTACCCCTAGGTGTTTGTGCTCCTTTACCGTCTGAATTTCTGTGGGTGAATTGGGAAAGGTGAACTTAAACATTGAGGCAGAATCTGTTAGAAACAGTACTCTGGTTTTTGAAACGTTTGCCTGAAGCCTCCAACTGGACATCCAGGTGACAATCATATTTATCGCGTCTTGCAACTCTGACTCAAGCTGTTTGACAGTTTTACAGTGGCGCAAAGCAGCTGTATCGTCAGCAAACAATGACATTCCAGAAACATGACTTGGTAGATCATTAACATACAAAACAAAAAGCAATGGTCCAAGAATTGAGCCCTGAGGCACCCCGACAGCACGGGTAGCTTTGGAGAGTCTGCTCCCGACACGGACACAAACTGGCTTCTCCCAGAAAGATAGCTCTCTATCCACTTCAACGGTGTGTCAGAGATGTTAAATATGACTTGAAGCTTCCTCAAGAGACCTCTATGCCACACTGTGTCGAACGCCTTGGCAAGATCGAAGAAGCAAATGCCCGTGTACAACGTTTCTGCTCTTGCTCCGATAATGTCCTGTACAAGGCGAGTCAGCTGCAGTGAAGTTGAGTCTCCACGACGAAAGCCAGACTGAGCAGGGTGAATGGCAGGGGCAACATGGCTATACAACTGATCATAACATATTCGTTCACATAATTTTGAAATGCATGATAAGAGAGAGATTGGCCTGTAATTTCCAGGAGTAGCTTTACTACCTTTGCCCTTAAATATCGGCGTTATTTTGGCCACTTTCCATGCCGATGGAAACTTCCCTTTTCTGAAAGACAAATTAAATAGAAGACATAAAGGATATGATAATGATGGTGCTAGAGCCTTAACAACTTCATTGGAGATGCCGTCCATACCAGGCGATTTGTTAAGCTTAAGCTTCGCAATAGCTTTGCGCACTCCAGCTGTGGTTATTATCGGAGCACGAAACGCATTCGGGAGGCAAGGGTGTTGGTTTAAGGACGGCAATGGTATGCGTGGGTCGTCAACAACCGCCACTGATGCAAATTGCTCGTTCAAAGCTGCAGCTTTAGCTGCAGGGTCTGCTGCCAACTTTCCATTTGATGCGAGGTCAGGTATTCCAGGGCTATTTCCCGAAGATTTCAGCATGCGAATGAATTTATGTAATGAAGGGTGATTACTGGTATCGCAAATCAGGACCTGCAGCTTTCGGATATACTCCCGGTGACATTTCCGGGACAGCGACCTCACAATATTTCGTTGCTTTTTATACAAATATTTGTTGACAGGACTTGGGTACTTCCTACTCCGACTGTGAAGTTCCGCCTTGTGACGGATAGCACCTTTCAATTCCGCATTAATCCAGGGCGGAAGTTGTTTCGACAGGCGTGATCTCCCTGTATCCCTGATAGAGCAACGCTCATAGTGCTGGACACTAATGTGCTGCGTAAAGATGCGGTCTAGAACAGTCTGAATATTTGCAAGTGATTCGTCCACATCTGACGTAACAACCGTATGCCAGGCAACTGCCGCTAGATCATCATTAATACCCGCCCACGTGGTAGGTGTCACTCTCTTAAAATTGTACTTACGGGCAGAAGATGACTGCACAAAATCCCTGGATGAAGCACAAGAGGGAAGCGGGTCCATGGGGATATCAAACTGGCATGAAACGAGGAGGTGATCCGATGCACCCAGAGCAGAGGCTGTGTCTATGGACGACACTAGTTGGCTACGATTGCTGAAGATGAGGTCCAAGCATGCCTGGTTGCCTGAAGGTGCGGTGTGCGTGTTTGTGGCGACCAGTTGTTGAAGACCAAAGCAGCCAAACTCTCGTTGTATTGCAGCACCAGCAGGGCATGTATGGTCTGTTGAGCACCAGAGGCTGTTTTTTCCATTCAAATCTCCAGCAATGATGACGTGAGAGGACGATACAGGAATCATCCTGAGAGAATCACCAATCATGTCGCAGTAAGTTAGCGAGTTATGTCCGAGCTCCTGGTTGAAGGCGGTCGATACGTACAGCAAACGACAATTGGTTCAGTACGGCTTGACCTGGGCGTGAGCTGGACCCATACAGCCTCACACATAGGACGGAGTAGATCCGGGCGATATCGTATGGATCTAAAACGGTGTTCTAGAACAAGGATTGCAACACCACCGTATGCCCGGGAGGTGGTGCCAGACTTCTTTTCACAAGGCGGTCTGTCTCGCCGATAGGTTAGGTATCCCGGAATACAGAAAGGTATAGTAGGCTCTAGCCAAGTTTCAGTTAAGCAAATCACATCAGGGTGGTGTTGTTTTGACGATTACGGACAATTCAGCATGTTTATTGACAATTGAACGGCAGTTTGTTGTATACAATAGGAGCTTCTCGAAGCTAGTCTCCTTCACTTGCTCGGCTGGATGACGCAGAGGAGCATACGGCCTGGCATTGGGGTTAAGGCTAGAACAGACACAGGATTCGGGGAAGAAGAAGAATGGCGCTGCATCTGGGTTCAACGAAGCCACGGAAGGAGAGAGCAGTCACTGAGCAGCGATGTCCGCAGACACCCCCACCCCGTCACTGAACCTCCATGGCCGAACAGCATGCTGAATAGTCTCCGGCCAGAAAGGGTCACCCATCACCCGATTGGTGGTCTCCTCAGGTACGGTAAGTCTTGCGTAGGAGGTGCCAAAGTACCGCGATGTGGCTACGGAGCATGCAAGCACCTCTACATCTCGCTCTTTACACCAGTTGACAATAGATGTTGCCTCACAGCCAGGAGTGATATTGCCGATGAAGAAAACCTTCCTCCGGGTTCGCACGGCTCCGGTTAGCACGTTCGGAGAGGTATTAACGGGTGTGGGCTTTTGATAGGCAGAAGTGACAGTCCTGGTCAGGGCCTCATTACGGGTGGTTGAAGCGGCAGCAGTCGGGGCTGTGTCAAACTTGTTGCGATGTCGCCGCCGATTGACATCCCGCCAACCGGAAGCAGTAGAACTACCGGCCCCAGGACCAGTGCGAACAGAGTCAGGACGAGCAGATGCAGCAGCAGCAGCAGCAGCACAAGAACCCACAGTCCCCTGCAGAACAGCGCTATACGGAGGCTGAACTCGAGAGCGGGACTCCACCGGCAGAGGCCTAGAAATGGCTGGGGGTGGTGAGGAAGCAGGCTCCTGCGCATGAATACGAGATTCAGACTCTGAGGCATAAACGTCTTCCTTGAGAGATCCAAGTGAAGCAAGACGGAGAGCCTCTACTTCACTCTCGAGGTGTATGACTCGTGAGTCCAGACTTGCTACAACAGACGCCTCCCGTCGCCTATCAGCTCTCATAGCCGCCAGCTCAGCTGAAACGCAACCCACAGCATGGACCAATTCATCAAATTTGCCCGTGACGACGCTATCAAGACCAGACTGCACAAGGGACGGTAAAACACCAATGCCAGCTTTCCGAAGCTGCGGTACCAGCTCTGCACGAGTCAGGCCGTCCGGTGCCCGAACGTTATGGCCCTGGGCAACGGCACGGAGTTGCTCAAACGTGAGCACCGCCAGGTCCAGCTTCGAGGTGGTGTCCATGGCAGTATCCACGCCAACACACAGTTCACGCCCAGAGGCGATGCACTCTACCCAGCACTTGACAGCTCTGATGCACGGAGGCCAGGACCAGCTCCAGCACAGCCCAGGAGAACGCAAGGCAAGGCGAGATACACAACCACGGAACAGCAAATGGCCAGCCTGAACAAAGCTAAACAGCTGCCTCCAAACTACAATGGACCAGTCCACAATACCTCTATCAAAATTCAGCAGGCAAAGCCCAACACACCACAGAATGTAAAGGGCTACAGCAGGGACCAACAAACTCCCAAAATGCCAACTCAAACACCTGTAAAGCAGAGTGCCAAATCGTCTACCAGCCAGCTCTTGCTCACAGTTTGACTTCATAAGATTTTTTTCATTTGTTCGTTCACCAACAATTGAAATTAAAGTTTCTCACTTGAACACTCTGTAGAGCTGTCGCTGTCGTGACAAGGCCGTGTATACTCCAAATCTACATGTAGGATGAAGAGTAACAGTTACTGCTGACAATGAAGTTTGCGCTCGTGGACAATACAACGCTGTGTGAAGTAAATTGTGATATCGCTATTCATTGTTACTTTTTACTACAATGAGTATTTTGCTCTCCAGATCTGACAATTATCGGCCTCATCTGCAATGGCTGCTCCTTCACAGTTCATCGCAGCACTCGGCAGCGCTCGCTCTTGACCGGCCCGTACGGCCAATTCTTCGGCAGAATACCGAGGTTCAGCCCCATACCGAGCTCATAAAGGTCAGCCATGGCTCCATCCTCACTCTCACATGGAATCATGTCTTCGGCGTCACTTGTACTACCAGTAAATACTATTGGTCGCTAAATCATTGAAATAGCATTGGCATTTCATGCACTCCTTTTGACTTACATGTACGTGTAGCCGCGCGCTGTGATGTTGCAGAGGGTATGTCGCGGCCGCATGAAGTCATGGTGCACCCCCCCCCCCCCCGAACCTCAGTTTTTCAAACGGGAATAATTATTATAATAATTATTATCAAGAACGCTTTGTGGGAGATACATGTACGTTGGACTAACAGGACAGGGCGTGAAAGCCCTCGCTATGCTTTGTTTTTACCTAGGTCATCATGTGTCGTATTCGAACTGATAGAAACGTCTTTGCAATACGATTTGAAACGGCTTTGCATAAACGTGTGCCCAATAATCGTATTGCAAAGGCGTTTCTATCAGTTAAAATAACACACATTATGAATCATCGACCTTGGTAAAATCAAAGCATAGCGAGGGCTCCTGGGCTTTCAAGCCTCTCGTTATTTCATGCACAAAGTGCAATTTTTCTCGCAGTTTTTTCTCGCCGTGCGAGCACAACCGGGTTACCTTAGCTTACCGCTGTTCCAAGCCAATTGTAAGCTAGAGCGCAAGACTCCAGCTGCGTGCCCGATTCACCCAACGAGGCTACCGTCACCCGGACAGATTGCCGAACTGCCGTCGATAACACAGCTTTGCGAACCTTGCAGACTTCGCCTACTTTCCAGCAACCCCAGGAGCGTCGGTATCAAAGCGGCATCATGATGATGACAGCCGCAAGGCCCACATGCACAGCCAATACAATTAATACAAGGGAAAAAAACTATTTCCACTTCTCTCTGGCCTAGCGACCGGTTGTGCCTTGGGGACATTTTTCGGACGGCGGTTGAACTGTCCCTTTGCTTTGGCTTTATTTCCTTTCCTTTGACGTAAGTATGCTACTAGTACTACTACATGTAGTACTAGTAGTTCAAAACTCGCGAAAAAGCGACATGAGGCCCCGGGTTCGAGTCCAGGTCAATCAACTGTGTTTTTTCAAATTTTTCAAATTTTTCGCTGAGAGCCTCAATTTCGCGATCCTCACCCACGTCTCAAACCCATCGATATTGCCTCGCCACGTCGCTCATACACCACTCAGAACACCCAGTCCCGGTGCAGCAGGTGCAAGAGAAAATGCTGACAACTCGATCGCTCGAACGATCTTCTTTCTCCGTTTCGTTTTCCTGTTGGAGCCGTTTCCAGTGTTGAGAGTTTGTTTGTTTTGAAGTCGTAGCGTAGGAGCTGGGTTCACCCGAGGTCGTTTTCCTAAGGCTGCTGCTGCTCTTCGTCCTGTTTTCCTGGGTTAGTTTTTAGTTTTCTGTGCTTGCCTTGCTGGTCTAGTTTCCAATTCTGCACAAATCTTGCTGGACCGACGTACTTTGCCTTAGACCAAGGCGCCTTTGTGATGCCAACTTTGCATTGAATATGGATCAACACGTGCAGTACCTTTCAGCTGTGTGCAGAATTGGTGGGGAGAGATTCTCGTCGCATGCCAAAAAAAACAAGCATGAAGCTCACGAATACTCCGTTGGCATACAGCATGTCTTTGAGTGCGATGTCACCAAGGATGAGGCACACATACATCCACGCTACATCTGTAGCCCTTGCCATCAAGTTATTTTACGTAGTGAGGAAAAGGGGTACAGGCACTGTGGTGGTGGCTGTGCAGGCAAACTTGTAGCTTGGGTGGCCCATGCAGAGCCAGACTGTACGTTCTGCAAGAACATGAAAAGTAGCAGCAAGGGTGGGAGGAAACCAAAAAAGAAAAAAATGCCTACATACAGTAGTACACAGCACTCTGCATTGTCTTCGTCGGCTTCCGCGGCCGCGTCAGCTTCCGCAGCCGCGTCAGCAGACGACAGTGCCACATCCACTGGCATTGATCTTGAAAGCATGCAGGTGCTTTTGGACATGGGGTCGCCTTCCTACAAAGCGAGCCAGGTGCTGTCACCTGATCGGTTTCAATTTATTTTCCCTTCTGTTACATGTAGCGTATGCCGGCACGTCGCCGACAATGCACTTACGACGCCTTGCTGTAGCAAGCTAGTTTGTGTGCCATGTGTTTGGGAGCACCTCAGCACTACGCGTACCTGCCCTTCTTGCATGTGTGACATGTATGCATCTGGAATGAGAAAGTTGTCATCATTTGAGCTGGAATGTCTTTCTCATCTGCCAGTGAGGTGTGACAATTACGTGTCCTCTCTTTCTGGCTGCCAGCACAGCATGAAACTGTTCTCATTGCAGACGCATATGAAGGTCTGTCCTTTCAATGCATACAGTGGCCCTGCCTGTGTGACCAGGTCGACTACTGTCGCAGATGTATTGACAGCGTCACCCAGCAAGCTTCGTGGGGAGGCAGCGGAGCATTTGACTACCCACTTGGTACAGTCAAAGTCCACTGATGGTAGGCTAGAGTTACGGACGGGTGGTACCCCTGCTTTGTATGTGCGTACAACGCAAGGTGGCAGTGCTGCTGTGTCTGTAAGGCAGATGCAGAGGAGGTCGGCAGAAATCCGACAGGCGAAAGAGGTAGTCTGTGGGGGCACTGTTGGTGTCGGTAAGCAAGATGCCTATGAGCTGCGTAGTATGGGTCAGATAGACCGTGAAAATTTGCTTAAATCTGCCGGTGTGTCTCCTTGTGCACCTTCATCTCATTCTGCCCTTGCTTTAAAAGCAGATCTGCACATGCCTTGGAACCAGCTGAGGAAACTGCGGAGGTGGCTCAAGTCCTTTGGGTGTGAGATTGAGTCGGAGAACACCATGCGGCAGCAGCTTGCGGCAGAGGTACCTGCATTTTATGCTTCCGAAATGTGCCCTTTCACTCTTCCGGGTGGTGATGTAGTTTCGTCACCAATGGTTGTGGCATGCAACCTCACAGAGATTGTCCTTTTCTTCTTGGACCAGTACGAGGAGGCTGGTATGCTTACCGACCATGGTGTTATCCCGCAGGATGAGATTTGGGTGAAGTTAGGGGGAGATCATGGGGGCGGGTCTTTCAAATTATCCTTCCAGGTTTGCAACATTCCTCACCCAAATGCTGTGAAAAACACCATCCCTATCCTTGTGTTCAATGCAAAAGATACCCCGGGCAACCTTTCCACTGCTTTTGCGTCACTTGTACAACACATTGACAGCCTTGCTGCAACCACATGGCAGAACAAGTCGTTTCGCCTTATTTTGTTTGGCGACTACGAGTTTCAAACGACTGTTTATGGCCTGTCAGGATCTGCAGGAGTGCATCCGTGTCTGCACTGCTTGAGTACAAAGCAACAGATACAACAGTGCCCCGCTGATTGGGAGCAGCAGCCAGAGCCACGCACGCTCGACACACTCTCACTTCACCATGGCCAATTTATGGCTGACGGTGGGCGCTTATCCAAAGCAAAGCATTTCTACAATGCCATACGTCCTGCTATGCTCTCTGTTCCTATTGATCATGTGTGCCTGCCAGCCTTACATCTTGATCTCGGAATCTATTTATGGGTCTTTGACTCCTTTGTCAAGGAGTGTAAGCACATTGATTTGAAAATGGCATGCGAGGTAGAAGTGAGTGAGGCAGATTCAGCTGCCTTTAAAAAGCTGATAGAAGATCAGAAAGAATGTAAGAAAAAAAGATTAGAACTGGAAGAAAAATCTAGTCAGCTTGCTGTCTTGACTGGCCAGATGCAATGGGTTGCTCTCCATTTTGGCAATCCGGAGCAGCAAAACAACCTCCAGGCTTTGGTTGGTAACCTCCAGCATGCTGCCACGCAAATGCAGCAGCAGGTCACAGCTCTGCAGGGTGACATAAGAAAACACGAGCAGACCCTCACAAATGCAAAGCTCGACAACGGGCCTTGCAACCAGTATGTTGAGGCTGCTTTACAAAAGCACAACATCTGCCGGCAAGTGTACCATGGGGGTTCATTTATTGGCAACCATGTCCACCACGCGCTTACAGACTCCGTCATCACTGACTTGACCTCATTCATTGCAGTTGTTGAGAAGCGTGCACCCTCTCTGGCTGCTGATGCTTCAGCTGTATCCAGCAGATACAAGCTGTTGTTCCAACAATACGCAAAGTGTCACGTCGCATTTTCCGGAACTTCAGCAGTCTCAGCAGAAGTTTGCGACCAGCTGCAGAGCGATATCGACAAGTTTATGGTGTCAGTTCGTAGGGAGATTGTTCCTCGTAGCCTTGGCCGGGTTACTCCAAAGCTGCACCTTTTGGAGTGTCATGTAGTTCCGTTCATGCGGAAGTTCAAAGTAGGTCTTGGGTTGCTTGCTGAGCATGGGGCAGAATCCATTCACAAAGAGTTCAACACCCTTCTTCTCCGTCATGGTGGCATTGTAGATCCTCTACAAAGGCTTCGAGTCACTGTCCAGCAGCACCTTATCGCAGCTCTCCCCAGTTTACGACCTCTGGTCCCAGCTCCTCGCAAACGAAGTAGAAAGGAACAGTCCTGAAATACTTTGTTTGCTCAGTTCAATTTTCAGTGTAGTGCGTTGATCGCGGGTGGTTGGTGGGTGAGTTGGCGTCAGTTCAAGTAAACGAACTGCCTCCAGCTTGCTCGTGAGTAAAGAGCAGAAAACTAACAACGAACTGGACCACCTGCTATCGTCAGCAAAGGAGAACAGCTACAGCCAGGTAATGTATCCATTATCTTTCTCTATCGTTATTATTTTATTCAAATCAGCTTCACAGTTTGGCGATTTCGCTGCATCTCTCATTGATTTGGCATCAGTTCGATCTCACAAACTGTTCACAGCTGGCCGGCAAGACGACGCGCGAGGCCAGACAACACAGGTACACCGAACAGGGCCGACTATTATCAGGAGAGAATAAAACAATTCCTTCAAACTTCATCTTCTCACTCGATGGATTTTGAAAAATTCCTGTTCGAAGGTACGATCGCTTGGCCACGCTACCCCACGCGTACATGTTACCATGGGATTCTGACGTACAGTACGCGCGTGCATACAGCGCGTGCAGTGCAAAAAAATCGACGCCATTTTGCCTGATGTCGCACTCGAAACAGCATCTACACATGGTACATGACAGAGTACAGAGTCAGTGTATACTATAATGTACACTGTAGCTGTACATGTAGTAGTAGCGCGACACTATCCTTCAACTAACAGTCAGTACAGACTCACTGTCTACATGGTCTAGCCTAGGTACTACGCGCAGCGAGTTTCTGTCAGAGAGTGCTTTTTTTTTATTACTCCGCTGCTGGCTTAAACGGGCGGGAACGGGTTACACCATGCATGCCCGTGATGACTGTGACAGTGAGTTTTCACCTTCGCTAATCATGGACATGGTGAACCCGGCCGGGCCATACCATCAAGAGTACAGTCATAACCCCATGTATGATGTAGACCTACCATGATGATTGTACTCTTGACCCATGGCCATGCATACTGCCATAGCATAGGCCACATGACATGGCCATACGTAGCAGAACGGGTAGATCTACGTGATTGTACGTCACCATGGTCACTACCGGATACCGCTATCATCCCACTGTCGTCAGGATAAGGAGTTGCAAACGATCTTCTCGACTCAAGTACTACTACTACAGTGCGTATCGGTTATAGTGTGGTCGTATACAAGAATATACTGCCTACAAGAATGAACACTCATTTTTTTCATAATCATAACACCTATTTTATGTGTATATTTATTCTTACAAGCAGTATTATCGCATAGTAGAATATATCGGCCCTAAGAATGGATTTTGTGTAGCAAAATATGCCAGATTAGTGCAAAATGTATCGCCTGCAGTAATAACATCTGTGCTCTGTGCATGCTCAATACAATAATATTCAACACAAAAAGAGAGTAATGTCCAAATGAGCATTGGAGAATCACTTTTTCTGTCCAGTCGGACTCTTTCTTCCGACTTCTCTCCTATCTGCTGCTCCGCAGTCGCCTAGCACGACCGCGAGTCTGATCCGTGTGTATCATGATTGTGTAGACCTACATGATTGTACGTGTCCACATGCCAAACATGCATTATGTCACACGTGCATATGATATGTCACACGTGATTTATCGTGTGTAAGAAATATCAGCAAAAAGTCGTTTTTCAAACACCCACGCTAACCGATACGTACCTAGCACCTACTGTACTAGTACTACTACTACCGGTAGTAGTAGATCTACGTACATGTAGTTCTCATCTCTCAGTCTTGGTACAGCCGTCTACATGGTCTACCACATGGTCTACCAGTGCCAGTGCCAGTGCGGCAGTACAGTGGTCTACAGCAGTACATACAGGCCTAGGCAGTAGGCTACAGCCTGTACAGCCTACACAGACTGTACAGCATGGTACTTGTACAGGGTCAGGAGTCAGGAGTCGAGTCAGGACTCAAGCCAAGGACGCACATATTTCTTCATCACTCGCAGAGTAATGCCTCATCAGGCTCATGGTCTGTAGACTAGTAGTAGTGCTGGTACACCGTACAGACAAGTATTATGGTTACCGGTATGCGGCATTTGCTGGTCCAAGCTGAAGTCCATTCGATTCATATCGCCCTGAACTCAAGTCACTACACTCTCTGTCGGTACTTGTGCAGGTTCTGATGTTTCGATTCTAATAACTACTTATTCTTACCGGTACCTCTCCGAAGATGTCCTCCCCCAAACCGGACGGTACTTCACACGTGAGTGCGCCAGATACTGCGACTGGTGCGCAGGATTCGCGTACAACTTCAAGCGGAGACAGCCGCTCAGTTTCGGTGACCGGGGATTCGTTAGGTGAGAGCTAGCGAGAGATCGTTTGAAGTACATACATACATGCATGTGTACTTTTATCCCCCGAGCCTAGCCCAAGGGATTAATCATTTGCGAGAACAAAATTTTTAATCACTTGAGAGATTAAAATCTCTCAAGTGATGCCCACAGTGATGCACACAATAGGGAGGTTCCGGAGTACGATTTTTCGTGCCAAAATCCGTAGAGGCGCTACGGATTTTTTATACGTCGTTTTCGAGCAGTGAAATGTTCCGGAGTACGGAACTTATGTGTTTGCCGTCATTGCCTAGGTTACGATCGCAAACACGTCACATTCCCGCGCTATGCCTTTTTATTTGGAAAATTTGTACCGAAATCAAAACTACCCGCGGAAAATCGATGTTTCTCGTACCAAATTTGTACGCGAAAAATCTTTCTGCACCCGATGACGCAAAATCTCCATACGAAACATGGTTCGTGTGAAAGCCAGTCCACACGGATTCTCCGTGCCGAAAAATCGTATGGAGCACGCCTGGAAAAAATCCGTAGCACCCATACGGATTTTGGCACGGAAAATCGTACCCCGGAACCTCTCTAATAATGCGGCCAGAAAGAGTGAATAATGCGAGGATTGTGCGAATGAAACTATAACAAAATTAATAATAAACTACAATCGACTCTTGATAATTATAACGAACACCATTGTGTGGAAGAATTAGTTCTTTATAGCCGAAGTTCGTTATAACAGAAATGCACTCACACTCTACAAGCAGCAAAATAATCATGACTGAAAAAATTCCCCATGAAAGTATAACTGCACTTGGTTTATATGGAGCCCTACAAGATTTGGTTCGTTATAAACGAAAACGGTTCGCTACAAAGAGTCATTTTTGTATGGATTCTAACAGGGACATGGACACTGGTTCGCTAAATCACGAAATTCGCTAAACGCGAGCTCGTTATAAGCGGAGTCGACTGTACAAACACCCAATGACTCGCCAACTCCACTGCAGTGATTTCCAAGTTGCCGCCAGCACATGTGAGTGACCGTGACAGTTAGACAGAGTACTGTAAGACGACATTTTAACATCGACTATAGTTAACGATCTCCGGATTTTTGTAGGTTAGCGAGGTGAAATGCTAACGAATTCTGTCGGCAAAACTGGCAAATGACTGTACATATATAATTTTGCACGTAACGACTTCAAAATTAATGTTAACGAATTGTTTAAATTCGTTAAATCGTTAGAATTAAATGTTCATACAAAAGAGGAAGGACCTAGGAACTACAGGTTACGCTATACTGTCCACTAACACCGCCAGTTACTAAACAATCAGCTCACGCGATAACATTGCATTCTCTTTTGTATAAATTAAACCTTGGCTCTCCATCCGAGTCAATTAAATGTTTGTTAACATTACTGGTCTTACAGCATAGCACAGTACTATCGGGTGCCGAAGAACTGGCGTCACCCTCGTATGCGGAACCCCTCAGTCTTATTTTCATGTACAGCAGTCCATGCGCAGTAGAGTAGAATCACCTGGCATATATGGCTATGCTGTGCTTGGCGAGATTCTAGCAACGCCGTTCTTGGGCACTGCGTTCTCCTGCACACGCCACACACGCCAGTACTGTACTATGCAATTACATGTAGTATGCTGTAGCGAATCTTCCGGAGTGTTAGCCGCACACCCCTTTTCGGGTCCGAAATTCCTATTTTTGTTGACACTCGGTCTATAAGCCGCATGTCAGACTCTTGAATTTGTTGGCACCCTAATGTAATTGGTATCGGTAATATACCGGAGGGTGTACCCAGTGTGCTGACAGTGCTCAACACCACGGCGGAGGGTGTACCCAGTGTGCTGACAGTGCTCAACACCATGGCGGAGGGTGTACCCAGTGTGCTGACAGTGCTCAACACCACGGCGGAGGGTGTACCCAGTGTGCTGACAGTGCTCAACACCATGGCGGAGGGTGTACCCAGTGTGCTGACAGTGCTCAACACCACGGCGGAGCATGTACCCAGTGTGCTGACAGTGCTCAACACCACGGCGGAGCATGTACCCAGTGTGCTGACAGTGCTCAACACCACGGCGGAGGGTGTACCCAGTGTGCTGACAGTGCTCAACACCACGGCGGAGGATGTACCCAGTGTGCTGACAGTGCTCAACACCACGGCGGAGGGTGTACCCAGTGTGCTGACAGTGCTCAACACCATGGCGGAGGATGTACCCAGTGTGCTGACAGTGCTCAACACCATGGCGGAGGGTGTACCCAGTGTGCTGACAGTGCTCAACACCATGGCGGAGGATGTACCCAGTGTGCTGACAGTGCTCAACACCATGGCGGAGGGTGTACCCAGTGTGCTGACAGTGCTCAACACCACGGCGGAGCATGTAGCCAGTGTGCTGACAGTGCTCAACACCACGGCGGAGCATGTACCCAGTGTGCTGACAGTGCTCAACACCATGGCGGAGGGTGTACCCAGTGTGCTGACAGTGCTCAACACCACGGCGGAGCATGTAGCCAGTGTGCTGACAGTGCTCAACACCACGGCGGAGCATGTACCCAGTGTGCTGACAGTGCTCAACACCATGGCGGAGGGTGTACCCAGTGTGCTGACAGTGCTCAACACCACGGCGGAGGCAGAGCGTAATACAGAACAGAACAACAAGGACAATCAAGGCTTGTTTGCTGCGACTTGAAGTTTCATGCTCTCGCAATCATCAGGCAACACCTTGTTGTTCTGTTCTGTATCGGTAGTATAAGATGTTACCAATGGGTAAAACGTTGTCTTTCCCCCTTGTCAATGGACTAGTATATGTTGGGCTGGGGATGTGGTGTTGGCTTGAGTTGACTGATGTGGTCTTTGAACACAGGTCAGTGTATAAATATGTTGGGTTACGGCGTGGGTCTGAGGTGGTCTTTCACTGCAGGTCAATGTTGGGGCATGGTGTGGGATAGCGTGGCTGGACTCTCAGGATTTAGTCACAAGTTGTGAACCTGACGAAGGCAATTTGCCGAAACGTTGTGATATTGTGAAACGAGTTGAATTATTGCAGTGTTAATGGAAAAGAGCGTGCGGGCTCTACTCCTAACTGTTTATGAAACTGCTGGAAGCCTCCCCACTTTTACTGAATGGTGACGTGTTATTGTTATAGGATTCAACAGCATGTGACAGTGAGAGTGTTTCAACTCACTACTGATGACAGTGCATCTCAACTGCGTATGGATGTTAGGATTTGTCAACTGCATATGCGTGTGAGGGTGTTTCAACTTCAAAGGCTGTTCAACTGCATGCGGATGTGAGGGTGTTTTGAAAACTGCATGCGGATGTGAGGGTTAAGAGTAGAGCCCACACGCTCTCTTCCATTAACACTCTGCAGTAATTCAACTCATTTCACAATAATTATTCCAACGTTTCGGCAAATTGCCTTCATCAGGTTTACAATAGGATGTGAGAGTGTTTTAAAACTGCATGCGGATGTATGTGAAGGTGTTATGTGAACGTGTTTCAACTGCATGCGCGGATGTACGGGTTTTTCAACGGTGTGCAGATGTGCGGGTGTGTTCATAACTGCATGTGCATGCGAGGACGTTTTGAAACTGCATGCAGATGCGAGGGTGTATCTAACTGCGCGTGGATGCGAGGGTATATTGAAACCTGCATGCAGATGCGGGGGGGGGGGGGTGTCTAACTGTGCGCGGATGCGAGGGTATATATTTAAAAATGCACGCGGATGTGAGGGTGGTTCAACTGATGTCCTGACTGACATTGTTGTCACTCTTTGTCTCACTGCATCGCAGACAAACCTGTCCCGGTCACCACTGTAGATCGAACAGTCACTGCCAGTGCTACAGACCAACATGTGCCCGTCACGTCCACAGATCAGCCAGCACCGGCCAGTACTCCGGATCAGGTTGTCCCCATCGTCGCCGATAGTGTCCCGATGTCACTACGGACCCGCAGCACACTGGACATCCTCTCTCTGGCCTGCAGTCTGCCCCATGTCAATCATGTCTTTGAGAAGCTGCCGCAGCTCGAGAACAGACAGGCACACACACTTGCAGTCACCCTGCTCAGCCGTTACAAGGAACAGGTACGTATCGAAATGAGTGAGGGAGAGACAGACAGACAGACAGAGACAGGGAGGTAGAGACAGACAGAGAGAAAGAGATAGGGAGAGGCTGAAGGAGCGAAAGTGTGTGTGTATGTGTGTTTTGTATTGTGTGTGTGTGCGTGTGCGCGCGTGCGTGTGTGTGTACTTGCGTGTGTGCATGCATATATGTGTACATGTGTGTGTGTGGGCGTGCGGTCACGCACCTGTTTGCGCGTACGCATCTCCAAGTGTACAGTACGAGCTTGTAGACGCTGTGATATCTCTACAGTAGATTTTAGTGTTTGTGTGGGTGCATGTGGAGCTGGCATCATCTCGGGATGTATGCTATTAAATCGATTATGTTGTAGATGCATGTACATGCACAACATTCTTTTCTCAAACCCCTCTTCCGCCATATGTGCACCGACCACCGCAGTACAGTAAAACCGGTGACTAACGACCGCCCCTTGGGGCCGGAGAAAGCGGTCTTTAGTGGCAGGTGGTCCTTAGTTAGAGGTTTGCACCGCACAACCATAATATATGAATGTGAGACCGCCACGGTGCCTGGCAAAGTGGTCTGTAGTACCAGGCTGGTCGCTAGTCACGGTGATCTTTAGTTACAGGTTTTACTGTAGTACCAGGCTGGTCGCTAGTCACGGTGGTCTTTAGTTACAGGTTTTACTGTAGTACCAGGCTGGTCGCTAGTCACGGTGGTCTTTAGTTACAGGTTTTACTGTATATGCAGAAAAATGGAGTACAGAAAGTGCTAACAAAAAGTACACTTATACCTCGTTTATCCTGGCGGGCCGGGGACCGGGCACTGGCCGTAACTCCCAATCACATGCAAAAAAATGTTGATGGTGAAAGGCCATAGATATGGTATAATGACATCACTATTTCCACAGAAAGTGACAAAAGAGTAGTAACATTTCTACCGAAATTCTCCCACGGCGTGCCCGGTAGACCGAAATGCCCGTGACTTCAGTGTCCGGATAACCAAGGTATGATTGTACAATAACGCGCATCACTGCACGCACAGCAGAAAACAGTTGACAAAAGCACGGTTGCGCATGCACTGATGCCACGTGTGCATTATTGTGCATGCTTGTGTGCGTTTTCTACTATTCAGGGAGAACAATACACGTCATTGCTGAATGACATTGCAGCTGGCAAGGTGGTGGACCCACGAGACCGAGCACTGACCTTTGCCCTAAGTATGTAACCACTGACTGTGCTGTCTGTACATGTGTGTATGGGTGTGTGTGGAGGGGGGGGGGGGGGGGGGTGCGTGCGTGTGCGTGCGTGGATTCCAGCTAGTTTGGTTGGTGAGTACACCTTTTCCACATAGGGTTGGGTATGTTGCAAGCAGGCTCGGCTGCTTGAAGGTGTAATGTTGTATCTGCCACCTTTGTTGGTTCCAGGGTTCAAATACTGTCTATTTGAAGTATGCATACCTGTTAACCATGGACTACTTCTGGCTAGATTTACTGTAATCATGGTACTAGTGAAGCTTGTATCAGATCCACTCTGATTAAGCCGCCCACACTAGTACCAAGTATTACCTACACTGGGGGAAGGGGTAACTGCAGTTGGATCCCGGGACGGATACCCTGATGCCGTCAATCCTATTTACCAGTTTTGGCAGTGAGCAAATACAAGTTTGTGTGTGTGTGTGTGTGTGTGTATGTGTGTGCGTGGTTGTGTGTGTGTGTGTTTGTGTGTGTGTGTGTGTGTGTGTGCGTGGTTGAGTGTGTGTGTGTGTGTGTGTGTGTGTGTGTGTGTGTGTGTGTTCTTCCATGCCCGCAGGCGGTGGAACTTACGGGGTAGTGCAACAAGGCACGAGAAATACGGTCAACGGTGACGGAAACCTGGTGCAGGATGAAGACGTGTCCATTATGCAGCAAGGCGTCGACAACACACTCAACATTAACGTCTCCATCGACGCATTGTCCGTTGCAGGCGGGGAAGGCTATCGTCCTGCATCCACCAAGGATGCACGCGAATCGATCACGACCGAATTGATGCGCTTTGTGCAGCGCTTCTCCAGAGGTGGTGGACTAGGTACGGTTGGTGGGCTTGTCAAGGGGGAACTACCCCCCCCCCCCCCATGTCTGCTCAATCTTGCTGCCCCCCCCCCCCCCCTCTCTCTCTCTCTCTCTCTTTCTCTCTGTCTCTCTGTCTTCCTCTTTGAATCGTGTGATTTGTCACAGGTCTGTTGGGCATCATGTTTGCTAAGTGTGTGTGGGGGGGGGGGGGTATGTGCTTCATTGTCTCAGCGATGGTCATGTGTGAATGGCAGTGGGTGGGTGCATGTGTCTACATGCATTTGCATAACTCACGCTACTGACACTACGGTATTGAACGAACCACGTTTTCCACCAGCTTCCTTGTGATTTCATGGAATGCATCGTTTCATGCTCTAAGTTTACTCTTTCTATCGAGCGAGCCCCCCCCCCCCCCCCCCCCCCTCTCCCCAGCACTTCAGATGGTTGACCGCACCACACTAAATAATGTGTGTGTGTGTGCATGCACACGCTCGTGGGTGCTTGAATGGGGATGCATGTACGTGGGTGTGCCGTAGTGTGACGTTATCCTGGCCTGGTGTCTGCCGCTTGGGTTAGTGACCGCCGGAACACAGTCTTGCCATGGGTGCATGCGTGTACTTTGCAAATGTTATCGTTTTCTTCTCACTTTCACAATCTTATCTCCCCCTCTCTCCTTCTCTCTCTCTTTCTCTCTCTCTCTCTCTCTCTCTCTCTCTCTCTCTCTCTCTCTCTCTCCCTCTCTCTCTCTCTCCTACTCTCTCTCTCTCTCTCTCTCTCTCTCTCTCTCTCTCTCTCTCTCTCTCTCTCTCTCTCACTCTCTCTTGCTCTCCCTCTTTCTTGTGTACACCCTATCATTTCTTTCTTGTTCTGCTGGCATTCCTACACAGGCTCACAGCAGGATCACTCCTCACCAGTCACTGGAACACCAGTGGACGACACTCCTGGCGAGGGAGATGTGAACGATCGCGGCAACTACACCGTCCGTCCCTCCTCGCTCTTCTCCCTCGGCCAGAACTGCAAGCAGGTGATGGAGAGGATGCTAGGACTCGGCGATGGCAGCCCGGTGAAAGTGAGCAACGTCCAAGCGCTAGGCGAGGATCGCATACGCATCACGTTGACGGAGAAGGACCCGGCACCAGCTTACTTGGGTATGGCATGCACAAGCCTGATGCAGCTTGTGATCATTGTTAAATTTGCTCCACCTCCAGCACATGCACTCTCCGCCCAACCGCATTCATACCAGCAACATGACTCTAAGTCGCCGATCATGGCAAATGCAACTTCCTCTTTACAGTGAATCATGTAACTGTTATGAAGTACAATGTGATCATTGTGCCTATTTGAAATATCAGTCGACCAGACCACATCTCAAGAAAGGCCAACACATGCACTGAATTCGGGCCTTTCCAATTATGCCTTTGGTTAATTATGCCTTTGGTTGAGGCCACCCCCCCCCCCCCCCCCTCTCTCTCTCATGGCTTGAACTTCAGTAAAACCTGTGACTAACGACCACCCCTTGGGGCCAGAGAAACCAGTCTTTAGTGGCAGGTGGTCCTTAGTTAGAGGTTTGCACCGCACAACCATAATATATGAATGTGAGACCGCCACGGTTCCTGGCAAAGTGGTCTGTAGTACCAGGCTGGTCGCTAGTCACGGTGGTCTTTAGTTACAGGTTTTACTGTAGTACCAGGCTGGTCGCTAGTCACGGTGGTCTTTAGTTACAGGTTTTACTGTAGTAGCAGGCTGGTTGCTAGTCACGGTGGTCTTTAGTTACAGGTTTTACTGTAGTACCAGGCTGGTCGCTAGTCACGGTGGTCTTTAGTTACAGGTTTTACTGTAGTACCAGGCTGGTTGCTAGTCACGGTGGTCTTTAGTTACAGGTTTTACTGTAGTACCAGGCTGGTCGCTAGTCACGGTGGTCTTTAGTTACAGGTTTTACTGTAGTGCCAGGCTGGTTGCTAGTCACGGTGGTCTTTAGTTACAGGTTTTACTGTAGTACCAGGCTGGTCGCTAGTCACGGTGGTCTTTAGTTACAGGTTTTACTGTAGTACCAGGCTGGTCGCTAGTCACGGTGGTCTTTAGTTACAGGTTTTACTGTACACAGCAGCTGTTCTTGTTCTGGCTGTTGAAGATGAAGCCTGTCGTTTCCCAGTCTTTCTGCTGGATAGTCGGTGGTGTACCACTGGAGAATCACAGACAGGCTGCTAGCACGGCAAAGCCAGGCTGGCATGACTGATCTGATGCATACGTCATTGCTTTTTAATAATTGCGTGTGGTTATTACCGGTATGTAATACAGACTGCTATAATGGCAAGCCAGGTTTACATGACTGGCCTGCTGCACACCTCATTGTGTTGAACTATGTGTGTTTATTTGTATTTGCACTGTATGTCCATGTCTGTTTGAACTCTGTAAAGGCAAGGAAACCGACCCGTCGACCCTTGTCATACTGAAGCTGCGCGGTCCGCTGCACGAGTTTGATCAGAAGAAGGACCTGTTCCGCCTGCAGACTGCCGGCCTGCTGGGCTGCCCGCCCGACGCCATCAGCTTCATACAGGCCACGCGCTCCGGCAGCGTTCGTCTTCTGGTTGCCATGCCGACCAGCTGCTACGCACGTCTCCTGCAGCTGGCTCTCTTCCAGCCGTCCGTGCTGCGGGCCCTCGGCATCTTCTGGCTGCAGCCCGTCTGCTTTCCGGCGTCCGTCAATGTAGCTGAGGCTGTCGACGTGACCACCGTGACTAGCATACTCGGTGAGCACTCACGTTCTTCATTCCTGCCTACTCGGCAGTTCCGGGTCGGGGCCCGGGGGGGGGGGGGGGGCGTCACCTGCCCTGCCCCACTCCGCCTGACTGCGGACCCCGCCCGGTTTCGCCCCAACCACATCCTCCCCTTTCATGCTAGTCTTGTTTCTGTCCACCACCCCCTCCCCCCCCCCCCCCCCCCCCGTGACACACACACACACATATGCGTACACACACACACACACGCACACAAATGCATACACACGCACACACACATGCACAGACCACTCCGTCGCCCCAGCTTGCAATGCTGATAACTGTTTTCAGGTTTTCTGTTACCCTGCTAGCTAGCTAAGTATCCCAGTCTTTCATTCTCATCCCGCCGCCAGAAGAAACAAGTTGCCATGTTTCTTCAGGAAGCGTGCTTGGAAACCGAAATTAAGCATAGCATCAGTTGTCTTATGTTTGCCTCGCGGCATGAAACTCGGAGTTGCAAGAAACCTGAAAGTCCTCCGCTGAGTCTGCTATGTAATGAAGCATATCAATATTTTCCCTGTTTGCTGCCCCAGGCCGTGCGTGCTGCCGCACGATCTGTGACAGCCTATACGACGCGTATCAGATAAGTTCCGATCAGCGCGTCGGCTTGTCCTCGCTCTCGCTGGTTTCTCACCTTCACGACCGGCTGCTCGACGCGCAGATTCCTGCCGACAAGGTCGCCACGGCAACCAACGAAGCGCACGCCAAGCTCGCCCGTTGCCTGGACGACATTCGGCATGCAAGTCCCGACGGCACGGGCGATGGCAGCGGGCAACACCGCCAGTGCATTGCCGAACTCCTGGCACTGGAGTTTGAGACGGGACGAGCGCATCGCGGTGTTGATATATCCGCTGTGGCAAAGGTATGTGGTCAATAGACACACATAGAGTTATTCGGTGTATGCACTGTATCATCGTGTGCTATCTCTGATATTATGCTAAAGTGAGGCCTGCCTCAAGGCGACTACTCAGATAAGGCGACCACCTGTCCCAGAAGACCACAGAAACCAGGACCAAGGGATGCTATTTCCAGTCAAATGACCATGGATAAGGAGACCACCTGGTAACAGAGGCCACACTTTCAAGCTCCCTTGAGTGTTCGTCTTAAAAGATAGGTTTCAGTCTACAGTAAAACGTGTCTGAGACGACCGCTCAAGGGACCTTCAAAGTGTGGCCTTATCCGAGTGGTCGCCTTAATAGGTTTCATTGTATTTGATTTCTTAGCCGGTTACCAGTGTTCTCGAGCCCTGCTCTAACTTGTTATGAGACAAGGATCATGGATGTGACTGTGTGAGGATTGCTTGTATATTGTCACTTACTCGTTTTTGGAGCTGGACTGGTTAAGTTAGGATCATCTTCATCTCGGCTGTATGTATCCGACCATAGCAGCTGGATGTGTCAAGAATTGATTTCGATTGTTTGTTTTGCTCCTCTCTCTCTCTCTCTCTCTCTCTCTCTCACTCTTTCTTTCTTTCTTTCTCTCTATCTCTCTCTCTCTCTCTCTCTCTCTCTCACACACACACACACACACACACATACCTGCCGCAGACTGTGCTTCAATCGTTCCTAGGGAGCCGTGACGTTCACCTTCTGTCGGCGTCAGCTCGATCCACGGGATCCAGTGACAACACGCACAGTGTGTCATTCCTGCAGCTTGCTTCACCGTCATACAGGCCTATCAGTACAGGTGAGTGCTATCTCAACCATGACAACCTCCGCGCCTCTGTATCTACCTGCAATCTATGTACTCTCAAATTGCTCCCTGTACATCGGCACGTCGTCCCTACATCCCCTGTGTCTTGTATTGTTTTGTGTCTCCACATGTCTCTTTGTTGGGCTGTGTTCCCAGTAAAAAATCCCTTTAGGATGAACACCAAGGGACCTGGAGCGATGGTATTTGTTTGCAATAGTGAGAGCTCTTCTTATCCATATGTTATACCCAGTGAATACCCAATGCTGTAGACAGCAAGCTGCTTTTGCCGTAAAGGCCTCATCCGTACAGCTACGAGCGTTAAGCAAGCCGAGCTACCAGCCATGGCGCAAAGGAGGCACCACAGACATTAAGATAGCTCGTCGCTCTAGCACCAGAGTGCTCTGACTATGAAATGTAGCCAGAGTAGCCAGAGTAGCCAGCAGCCAGTAAATAGACAGTCTACATCGGTACAGCAGCTTTTGTAATGTTCCAGAGCAGTTGCTCATTGGAATTATTTCCGGAACCGCTTGAATCTCAGCGAGTCATTCCTGTTCTCCTGGCAGTTGTGAGCTCACAGATCTCGCGTTGGAGTAGATTGCTAACTCCGCCAGACATTGCCAGACCACCATGGGTAATGGTGGGGTTGTTGACCAGATGAAGTCAAATTTGCGAAACCAATTTACTCTTTCACCTTCAATAATTGCTGGTACAGTACCTGTCCAGTGTGACTTTGAAATTTTAAAAAGCCAATAGGCCCATATATTAGCAGCCCAGGAAGGAAAACAATCCATTCACTCCTGGCATTTCCATCAACTTGAATAGAACATGGGCCTCAGGATGGCCAGAACATTCGAAGAATATTAAATCAAATTAATATACAGTAAAACGTGTAACTAAAGACCACCGTGACTAGCGACCAGCCTGCTACTACAGTAAAACCTGTAACTAAAGACCACCGTGACTGGCACTTCTTAGTATAGTCAGCCTGGCACACACATACACTCAGAAAGTTCTAATCTTTGTACACCGCTGTATCAATGGATACTGTAGCCCACTCCTACAGCAACTCTTTACAACGACTGCTCCATACACCGTGCTAAACGATCAGCGCATCACTAGGGACCAAGTTTCCAACTTGCTCCAAGTCCCTTTCCTTCGCGGGCCTGCTGGTCGCTCGAGTATGATGTTTCACGGCAGTATTGCATGGAACGCCCTCTCGGCTGATGTAAGATCGATAACTGCTGCCGATCAATTCAAGAGAGCCCTATCTGATATTGACGTACTTAACTTGTAAACTCTATGCCAACAGTCCAACACCCCTCGCCGTACTTCATGTTCCCTGGACTGCTAAAAAGTGTCCCCATCCAACAAAGTCTGCCAATGTTCACACATATATTCTCATGAAATGCTTCCACTACATTTTATTTGTTATCACATTATAAAAAGTTCACACAAATTGAGTGTCAGCATACACACAATGTCATAACAAACATTTCTATAATAATAATCATACCGCTTGCATGTCTTTATCTCTATACATTTCCTCATATAATTTTCTTCATCTTTCTGTGAGAACCGGACCTATAGGCCGGTAAGAAGGCAATCATGCCTGTGCAATTGGTGAAGTAAAATAAAAGTCAACAACAACAACTAGTGACCAGCCTGGTACTACAGTAAAACCTGTAACTAAAGACCACCGTGACTAGCGACCAGCCTGGTACTACAGTCAACTTCGCCAATAACGACTGCGGATATAACGACAATTCGCGAATAACGACCGAATTTCCATGCCCAGAGCAAAGTCCCATCTAACTGTATACATTTTACTTCGGATATAACGACTATCTGAATAACGACAATTCGCGTATAGCGACATGCTTTTAGTGCCCCGAGGTCATATTCACTGCTTGAATAACGACTTTCTGGGCTTTTGACAGCTATTTCAAGTACCTGTCAGTCAAGTACATGTACCTGTCATGCAGAAGTACCAGAACCTATGGTGATGGATATTATTATAAAGGCACACATGCAAGAGAATGCAGCCAAGGGGGCGGGGCTTTTTCTTCCTTTTATAATTATGTTGGCTTCAAAATTGTTGGATTTACCAGCACACCTATATGTACAATGTACATGTAGTTGTACATGATTGTACAGTAATCATCATACATGTACATGTACATGTCTCTGGCCCTGTAGATGGCTCAAAAAGGCATATTTTTCAATTGATTTCCCTTGCATATTGAATTTTTAGTTCCTTTCAACTGCAATATGAAAATAAAGTACACATTGACATAGAGCAAGAAAAGAGCTTGATTTTGATATGCATGTCATACTATACAAAATATGGGTTCACATACATTCAAATGGGACTTCGGTTATAAGGACACTTCGCGAATAAGGACACTTTTCTGATGCCCCGCCGAATGTCGTTATAAGCGAAGTTGACTGTACAGTAAAACCTGTAACTAAAGACCACCGTGACTAGCGACCAGCCTGGTACTACAGTAAAACCTGTAACTAAAGACCACCGTGACTAGCGACCAGCCTGGTACTACAGTAAAACCTGTAACTAAAGACCACCGTGACTAGCGACCAGCCTGGTACTACAGTAAAACCTGTAACTAAAGACCACCGTGACTAGCGACCAGCCTGGTACTACAGTAAAACCTGTAACTAAAGACCACCGTGACTAGCGACCAGCCTGGTACTACAGTAAAACCTGTAACTAAAGACCACCGTGACTAGCGACCAGCCTGGTACTACAGTAAAACCTGTAACTAAAGACCACCGTGACTAGCGACCAGCCTGGTACTACAGTAAAACCTGTAACTAAAGTCCACCGTGACTAGCGACCAGCCTGCTACTACAGTAAAACCTGTAAGTAAAGACCACCGTGACTAGCGACCAGCCTGGTACTACAGTAAAACCTGTAACTAAAGACCACCGTGACTAGCGACCAGCCTGGTACTACAGTAAAACCTGTAACTAAAGACCACCGTGACTAGCGACCAGCCTGGTCCTACAGTAAAACCTGTAACTAAAGACCACCGTGACTAGCGACCAGCCTGGTACTACAGACCACTTTGCCTGGCGCGGTCGGTCTCACATTCATATAATTATGGTTGTGCGGTGCAAACCTCTAACTAAGGACCACCTGCCACTAAAGACCGCTTTCTCTGGCCCCAAGGCGTGGTCGTTAGTCACAGGTTTTACTGTATTGTGTCTCAGACGGCGTTTATAGGGTTGTGAGGATGCGTGACATAGATCCCAGTGCGTGTTTGTTTGTATCTCCCAATGCTATGGACATGCAGAGGCCAAGGAGGCCCTTCGGCTTGACACGCACGCACTCAGCCAGGATGCCGCTGCGGCTCTGTCCGCTAGCCTGGCCAAGTGCCTGGCCCAGCTCTGTGCCGTGCAGGCAAGCAACGTGTCCGTTCGCACGCTGCCGCAGCCTCAGGCCAGTGCTCAGCCCAGCTCTGCAACCATTACCAGCACCGGCACCACCACCACCACCGCCGCCATGACGGGTGGGTCAGCTCCCGGACGATTCCTTGCCATTCTGCCGGCCATGCTTGCACGCTACATTGGCGAGCAGTGCCGCAATAAGGACAGTGAGGTGTACAAGACTCTGGCACAGCATGGCGTGTTGTCCGTTAATCGCCTCCGTGGTCCGCAGATAACGCTCTCTCAATCTGGTAAATCGTGTTTCGTGCCTGCGTTCAAGGGTTGTGGACGATTTCGTGTGTTGTCTATCTGCTGCAGTGTGTTTGTGTGTATGTGTGGGGGGGAGGGAGAACGATAAGTGTGTGCGCATGTGTACGTGTCTGCATGTGCATGCATGTTTGCGTGTGTGCATGTGTATGCATGTGTGTGGCGTGTGAAGCATCTGCAATGTCACTTCAGTATGCAGTACCCTAGGTATAGCATACCCTGTTGTAACAATGCTCTCCCAGTTGCAGTGGATCTAAAGTATAGTTTTGAGGACCCTGAATGTCGATGTGCTGTCATCTGATGTTGGATATTGTGTACTACCTCGTCTATACATGTACAGATGTTCACGTTCCCTGGAGGTATGTTATACAGGAAAACCTGTAATGGCGACCACTCGGCCATGGCGACCACTTTTCCTTGTCACGGACGCGTTCACATTCAAAACAACTCGGATTTGTACTGATGGTGTGTATGTTGCCCTTCTCCAACATGCCATGTGAATGTTTATGTAGGTGCAAGCCGATCCTCCATTGGCCAGTCTCTGCGCCGTGTCTTCTCCAGGCTCGGCAGGAAGAACACTTCCGGTGAGGTGCTGCGTGTGTATACTGCGTTTCTTTGCTGTAGCGAGCGGGAAGATTTGTCTCTGTTTCGTTAACTTCAGCAAGCCTCAGAATCGTCGTTTTCCTTTCTATGAAAACCTGCACCCAATAGCAGCACAAACTTCAGGCTCTTTTCAGGCTCTTCAACGTCATGATTTTCATATGGTTATTTGTTTTGGTTTATACTTGTGAAAACCATGTTGTTGAAGAGCCTGAAGTTTGTGCTAACATTATAATTGAGTATTATATGAGTATTTCGCTCCTGCTCTTGTAGCAGTTGAGCACTCTTTTGTGGGGTAGTGCCTTTGCTGTTTGCGTTATGCAGAGCTCACTGACTTTTCAGTTTGAGCACTCTGGCAAGGTACGTTCGGGCCTGGTTTAAATCTGGCTTTGGAAAATTCCTTTTTCATTGCTATCAGGTTCGGCCTCATTTCCTCTGTGCTGCGCTGATGAGTCCACAAAGGACGAACCTCCGCAGATCGAGTATTGAGTATTATAGCTATTTGTCTCCAGGGAAAATATTACCTTACGTTTATATTGACCCTATGAAAGGTCATGTTTTCGTACCCCTTTTTCCGACTGCTCAAAGTGATCTTCAACGTGTGGTCCCTATGTATGGGTGGTCTTCTTATCCAAGGACTTTAGACTGGAAACAACGTCCCTTGGTCCTATCTGCAGTGGTCTTCTGGGACAGACGACCACTACAGTGTTTACGGTATCCATGTGCAGGTTCTGTACATTAAGAAAGGTATTCCACATTGGTGAGACCAGTGGGGGGGGGGGGGGGGGGTAGGGGGGTAGGGGGGTTACCATGAGAACATTTTGCAAAAATTGAGCCCTAATAGCCCATTTTGTTTGGTGTGGCTTTGGCCGCACCTGCCGCACTGGTTCAGATGCCCCTGCGATATGCGTGTGTGCTTATTGTAACTTATCACTGTTGTATGATTTTGGCCCATGTCAAAAAACCCACCGTGCTCTGTGTCTGTTCTAAACTTGTAGGCCAAGATGTTGTGGACGCTATCTCGGCGCGGCGGGAGGAGATCGTCAACTACCACTTCCCGTCGGTGACGACAGCTGCGCGGTTTCACCTGGCCGGACTGCGTACGGGAGACATTGGCCAGCTGAACATTGCAGTGGTGGGCATGCAAGGTACAGGGCTTACTCTATCTGATACACGTGTGTAGTCAGTGTCGTCGCCTGGGGGGGGGGGGGGTACTTCATCATTTTACGAGAACTGTGGCAATACGCACAGTGAGAAGGCAGATTTTGCCTGTGTCTATGGTGAAGTAAAAACAGCAACAAAAACGTCCACCCTCGAGATCGGCCGGAATGATCTGCTGTTCAAGGTGGTTGCTTGAGCTCGCACCTTTCCCCTGACTTGATTCTTGACTGACTCTTGACTACCATTTAGCGCACACGATATGTCAACCGGACCTTCAACTTGACAAACCTGCAAGAAATCACCACTACCTCCTCAATATACAGTGCTTTCGGGAATGAAAAGCCTTGAGAATGTGCAGAGATGGCTGTTGGTCTTGTTTCTCTGGTTGTTCTCTAAAGGTGCTGGTAAGAGTTTACTTGTCAATATGCTTGCGTCGGTGGTTAGTCAGAGTACGCAATCACCGTGTCATGTTGCCACCACAGCTAGCTCAGGTAAGGTTATGGTCTCTAACTGCCCCCTCCCCCCCCCCCTCTCTCTCTCTCTTTCTCTCTCTTCTCTCTCTCTCTCTCTCTCTCTCTCTCTCTCTCTCTCTCTCTCTCTCTCTCTCTCTCTCTCTCAGACACACACACACACACACACACACACACACACGTATAAACACACACGCACACAAGCACATTTACACTCACACAACTTAGCTCAGCAAAGACCAACAGCAGCCCTGATCCGCCTATGTTTTATTTCGATACACATCCCTGCCCAGACGAAGGCTGCACTCGCTACGTGAGTCCAGGCTGGCATTTCGGCGGTGTGTGCCTTGTCGACACCCCGCCCATGGTCATCTCAGACAATGCCGATGCTGCTGCTGTGGAGCTGGAGATGAAACTGTGGGCGTACGGCGTGCTCGAGGGTCGTCTGAATCACAATGAGGACATGCGACAGCTGAGTGATGAGCGGCTTTCCGAGGTACCGTGCAAGCAGTGAATGTGCTTTAGAAAAAATGTGCTTGGAAAAAGTCAAGAAAGGTTGCCTCGTAAATTGACAAAACTTGCAACTGTTTGTGTGTGTGATTTGCGACTGTAGAATATAGTACAGTGGAGCCAAGAGTACATAAAGTAGGATGAGCCACTCCATATCTATGCTGCGTAAAACCAATCTCACAACGAAGTTTGTTGTTTAGGTCATCATGAATCATAGAAATTTAGAAAACCCTGTCATACCATTGGTTTGCTAGTGATAGACCACCGCATCACTGCGCTGGTAGCTGGAAGGAAATCGCGTGCACATTTCACCTTTGGTACGACGATCAGCACTGCGCGACAAAAACTACCCCCCCCCCCTCCCCCCTCCTCTGTGCTGCGGGGAAATGACCATATGAGCCTTGACTCAATGTGACCTAAACAAACAAACTTCGGCGTTTAATGATTTGAGCTGCACTCTCTGGTTTATGTACTCTTGGTAGAACTCAGATAAGATGTACAGTCAGACCTCGCTGAACTGCACACATCCGTTTTCCACAAAAAATTATCCGGATAGGCGAGGGAACCGGATAATCGAACACACCTACTGTATGTATGCATGTATGACATGTGCTGTAAATCGGTAACCAACGATTTGCTTCCGGATGGCGAGGGATCCGGATAAATAAAGACCGGATAAGCGAGATCTGCCTGTACTCCCATGGGCAACAGGAAACAGTACTTGGTATCCGAAGTATTTCTAATCTCAACATACTCGGGAGGCACTGCATAGGCAACATTGTGATGTGGTGGTTGATGAAGAATCTGTACAGGGCCGAATGCTGCTAAAAAAATCACGGTTCGCGTGAGACTCGGTTTCTCTATATAGAGGCCGAGTTTTCCGCATCCGTAGGAACGCCACCACCCTTAAAGGATAAAGGCGCAGATGCAGCTCCTAAAGCGGCGGAAGGTGAGTAGATCAGCTCACCAGCATGTGGTCAAAGACCGAAAATCCCATTCACTGCGTCCATGTTTTCCTTTTTTTCTTTTTCTTTTTTGGAAGCGGAAGGATTTTTTCCAGCCGCGCTACGACCCACAGTTAATTGGGAACTCGTGGCCTGGCATGAGGAATGCTGCTACTTACTCCTTTACACAGAACATGCTACAGTATGCATGAATACACCCATGCTCAGGGTAATCTCCTTACTTAAAGCAACAACAAAAATTCACGGTTCGCGTGAGACTCGGCTAGAAACCGAGTTTTCCGCATCCGTAGGAACACCACCACCCTTCAAGGATCAAGGCGCAGATGCAGATACTAAGCAAGACTACTTAGAGTATGTTTAATCAGAGTATGTACCGAGCAAGTTCCACTGTATGCATTCTTGACTGGTTTCTCTGTCTGTTTATTTGCTCCATCTCTCTCTGTCTCTCTCTCGCTCGCTCTCTCTCTCTCTCTCTCTCTCTCTCTCTCTCTCTCTCATTATGGCAGGCGAGAGAATGTTTGCGTGTTTGTGAGTTGTGTCGTCTCATTCTCCTGTTCATGTCTATGCTCTCAGATAACTGAGTGCCGTGCTGAGGCGCGTCCGTTGGCTGAACAAATCCACGGCCTCATCATCGTGATTGACGAGGGGAAAATTCCACTCAATGGCGACCTCAGTGCTAGCAACTACCCGAGAAGGCTCAAGGACTTCTACCGGAAGTTCACCAAGAACAGGCTGCGCTTCCGCGGTACGTGGCAGTGGTGTGGTTAGTAAAGTGTTTTGTAAAGATATCCCGGCTGCGCATGCACACTGTCGTTCCTTACTTTTGTCTTATTCATCGGTGCTTTCTTTGTCGGCAACACAGTGGTACTCGTGCTGCTGGTGGTGCTGGTGCTAATGCTGGTGCTGGTTCTAATGCTGGTGTTAATGCTGGTGCCAATGCTGGTGCTAATGCTGGTGCTAATGCTGGTGCTAATGCTGGCGCTAATGCTGGCGCAAATGCTGGTGCTAATGCTGGTGCTGATGCTAATGCCGATGCTAATGCTGGTGCTAATTCTGGTGCTAATGCTGGTGATAATGCTGGTGCCAATGCTGGTGCTAATGCCCGTGCTAATGCTGGTGCTGGTGCTAATGCTGGTGCTAATGCTGGTGCTAATGCTGGTGCTAATGCTGGTGCTAATGCTGGTGCTAATGCTGGTGCTAATGCCCGTGCTAATGCTGGTGCTGGTGCTAATGCTGGTGCCAATGCTGGTGCCAATGCTGGTGCTAATGCCCGTGCTAATGCTGGTGCTGGTGCTAATGCTGGTGCTAATGCTGGTGCCAATGCCCGTGCTAATGCCCGTGCTAATGCTGGTGCTGGTGCTAATGCTGGTGCCAATGCTGGTGCCAATGCTGGTGCTAATGCCCGTGCTAATGCTGGTGCTAATGCTGGTGCTAATGCCCCTGCTAATGCTGGTGCTAATGCTGGTGCTAATGCTGGTGCTAATGCCCGTGCTAATGCCCGTGCTAATGCTGGTGCTGGTGCTAATGCTGGTGCCAATGCTGGTGCCAATGCTGGTGCTAATGCCCGTGCTAATGCTGGTGCTAATGCTGGTGCTAATGCCCGTGCTAATGCTGGTGCTGGTGCTAATGCTGGTGCTAATGCTGCTGCTAATGCTGGTGCTAATGCTGGTGCTAATGCTGGTGCTAATGCTGGTGGTAATGCTGATGCTAATGCTGGTGCTAATGCTGGTGCTAATGCTGGTGCTAATGCTGGTGCTAATGCTGGTGCTAATGCTGCTGCTAATGCTGTTGCTAATGCTGGTGCTAATGCTGGTGCTAATGCTGGTGCCAATGCTGGTGCTAATGCCCGTGCTAATGCTGGTGCTAATGCTGGTGCTAGTGCTCAGCTGGTGCTAATCCTGGTGCTGGTGCTGGTGGTGAAGGTGTAGGACTGGTGGAGTTGCTGCTGGTGGTGCTGGTGCTAATCCTGGTGCTGGTGGCAGCGACAGCGGCGGAAAGGAGGGGGTGGCAGGGGCGGTGGTAGTGGTTGTGGTGTTGACTGTGCTGGTGGCAGTGACTGTATGCTCCTACTTGACTGTGCTGAATTCGCACCAGCATGTTCATATTAATTTTGATAATAGCATGTGACATATCCAAGAATGCCGAGTGTGCGAGTGCAGACACTGCATCAGTAGAGAGGTTAAGATGCACGCTATTTCTGACGTGACGGGAAAGCTCAGCTCGCGTTATTTGGCGCGCGCACATGTCGAAAAACAACGCGAGTGACCTGCAGCTCACATCGAAATTTGGAGTTTTCCGCCAAATTTGGCGTGAAATTGCGCGTCACGTCGGAAATACCGTGCATCTTAACCTCTCTTTTATCAAGTACAGTGAAACCTGTGTAAGGCGACCCTCAGGGGACGAGAAAAAGTGGTCGCCGTGGCCAGGCGGTCTTCTTATCCAGGTTCAGTGGTTCACGTGACCATATCCACATGTGATACATCATTTTGATCAGTGTATCACACACTAGTGCACACACCTACCGTAAAGTCGCGGATAAAGGCCGGGCTTATAAGCATATAAGCCGCTTTCTGCATCAGGCTTGTATTCAAACCCTGCTTGTATGCACCACTGATATTTTTGCCAGGCGTGTATGCACATCGGCACGCGTAGATCTACAACTGACTACCGGTATGGCGGCAGTTTTACTATGCACTGTACATAGCGCATGCACTCTTGACCTACCCGATCCACGCTTGCATAGAAGCCAGGCTTCTACGCGCGACGGGCTTATAATTAACTTCATTTGACCCGTTTGATTTTCAGGCTTCTATCCGCGATGTGCTTGTATGCAAACCCGGCTTCTATCCGCGATGTGCTTGTATGCAAACCCGGCTTTTATCCGCGATGTGCTTGTATGCAAACCCGGCTTCTATCCGCGATGTGCTTGTATGCAAACCCGGCTTCTATCCGCGATGTGCTTGTATGCAAACCCGGCTTCTATCCGCGATGTGCTTGTATGCAAACCCGGCTTCTATCCGCGATGTGCTTGTATGCAAACCCGGCTTCTATCCGCGATGTGCTTGTATGCAAACCCGGCTTCTATCCGCGATGTGCTTGTATGCAAACCCGGCTTCTATCCGCGATGTGCTTGTATGCAAACCCGGCTTTTATCCGCGATGTGCTTGTATGCAAACCCGGCTTCTATCCGCGATGTGCTTGTATGCAAACCCGGCTTCTATCCGCGATGTGCTTGTATGCAAACCCGGCTTCTATCCGCGATGTGCTTGTATGCAAACCCGGCTTCTATCCGCGATGTGCTTGTATGCAAACCCGGCTTCTATCCGCGATGTGCTTGTATGCAAACCCGGCTTCTATCCGCGATGTGCTTGTATGCAAACCCGGCTTCTATCCGCGATGTGCTTGTATGCAAACCCGGCTTATATCCGCGATGTGCTTGTATGCAAACCCGGCTTCTATCCGCGATGTGCTTGTATGCAAACCCGGCTTTTATCCGCGATGTGCTTGTATGCAAACCCGGCTTTTATCCGCGATGTGCTTGTATGCAAACCCGGCTTCTATCCGCGATGTGCTTGTATGCAAACCCGGCTTTTATCCGCGATGTGCTTGTATGCAAACCCGGCTTTTATCCGCGATGTGCTTGTATGCAAACCCGGCTTTTATCCGCGATGTGCTTGTATGCAAACCCGGCTTCTATCCGCGATGTGCTTGTATGCAAACCCGGCTTTTATCCGCGATGTGCTTGTATGCAAACCCGGCTTCTATCCGCGATGTGCTTGTATGCAAACCCGGCTTCTATCCGCGATGTGCTTGTATGCAAACCCGGCTTTTATCCGCGATGTGCTTGTATGCAAACCCGGCTTCTATCCGCGATGTGCTTGTATGCAAACCCGGCTTTTATCCGCGATGTGCTTGTATGCAAACCCGGCTTCTATCCGCGATGTGCTTGTATGCAAACCCGGCTTTTATCCGCGATGTGCTTGTATGCAAACCCGGCTTCTATCCGCGATGTGCTTGTATGCAAACCCGGCTTCTATCCGCGATGTGCTTGTATGCAAACCCGGCTTTTATCCGCGATGTGCTTGTATGCAAACCCGGCTTCTATCCGCGATGTGCTTGTATGCAAACCCGGCTTTTATCCGCGATGTGCTTGTATGCAAACCCGGCTTTTATCCGCGATGTGCTTGTATGCAAACCCGGCTTCTATCCGCGATGTGCTTGTATGCAAACCCGGCTTTTATCCGCGATGTGCTTGTATGCAAACCCGGCTTCTATCCGCGATGTGCTTGTATGCAAACCCGGCTTCTATCCGCGATGTGCTTGTATGCAAACCCGGCTTTTATCCGCGATGTGCTTGTATGCAAACCCGGCTTCTATCCGCGATGTGCTTGTATGCAAACCCGGCTTTTATCCGCGATGTGCTTGTATGCAAACCCGGCTTTTATCCGCGATGTGCTTGTATGCAAACCCGGCTTTTATCCGCGATGTGCTTGTATGCAAACCCGGCTTTTATCCGCGATGTGCTTGTATGCAAACCCGGCTTTTATCCGCGATGTGCTTGTATGCAAACCCGGCTTCTATCCGCGATGTGCTTGTATGCAAACCCGGCTTCTATCCGCGATGTGCTTGTATGCAAACCCGGCTTTTATCCGCGATGTGCTTGTATGCAAACCCGGCTTCTATCCGCGATGTGCTTGTATGCAAACCCGGCTTCTATCCGCGATGTGCTTGTATGCAAACCCGGCTTCTATCCGCGATGTGCTTGTATGCAAACCCGGCTTTTATCCGCGATGTGCTTGTATGCAAACCCGGCTTCTATCCGCGATGTGCTTGTATGCAAACCCGGCTTTTATCCGCGATGTGCTTGTATGCAAACCCGGCTTTTATCCGCGATGTGCTTGTATGCAAACCCGGCTTTCATCCGCGATGTGCTTGTATGCAAACCCGGCTTTTATCCGCGATGTGCTTGTATGCAAACCCGGCTTCTATCCGCGATGTGCTTGTATGCAAACCCGGCTTTTATCCGCCACTTTACGGTATGTTACTCTAGCACGACCCATGTGCCTGGGGTGCTCAGACCTGTCAAGTGTCGTGCATGCACCATGTACATCTACACTTCCTGCACTGATGTGTAGATCTACCATGCATGGTGCACCATGCAATGCGTACATTTACATGTACTAGCACTGTGCAACGTGGTCGCGGGTGGGTGGTCGTTGGGCGAGTGGTCGCCTTATCCGAGCTGTTCCGAATGTACATGCGTCCGTGACAAGGAAAAGTGGTCGCCATTGTCGAGTGGTCGCCATATCCGAGTGGTCGCCATAACAGGTTTTTCTGTATAAACGGTACGGTTACGAACATCACCCTCAAGTATTGATGTTCGGATACATGTAAAAACAGCATTATCAAGTACCAGTATGATCACGCGGGTGTCGACAGCATTATCTCGTATAAACACACACGTACGGACAGCAGCACTGTCCTATGCTCTGAATTGCCTTCCTCTTACTGCAATCTGATTTCTAAGAATGGAGCCGCTGGTGGTGGTGACCAACTGTGCCAAGCATCCGTCAGAGATGTACATTGATGCCGTTGTGCAACTATCGAGAGCCATGCATGGATCGCGGTTCTTCCTCGACAATCAGTTAGGAAAAGGTCAGTAGCTATCAAGATAGATCTCAGCCACAATACTGTATAAGTAGAAATTTCCGTTTGCAATTAACTTTCGCTATATTCATTAGGGGGCACGAAATAACTAAAGTTTGTACCAAACTAAAGTTTTTTTCTGAACGTTCGAGATGAGAGACCTCGACCAAAAACGAAATTCAGTACGTAACGAACCTGCTGGTGGAGTGATCTAAGGAAAGATATCGTGAACGAAAATTTCTACTTATACAGTACACTCCGTACGATACTGGTGTACTGCTGCACTGCTGTACTGCTGTACTGCTGTACTGCTGTACTGCTGTACTGGTGTACTGGTGTACTGCTGCACTGCTGCACTGCTGCACTGCTGTACTGCTGTACTGCTGTACTGCTGCACTGCTGCACTGCTGCACTGATGTACTGCTGTACTGCTGTACTGATGTACTGATGTACTGCTGTACTGCTGCACTGCTGCACTGATGTACTGGTGTACTGCTGTACTGATGTACTGATGTACTGCTGTACTGCTGTACTGATGTACTGATGTACTGCTGTACTGCTGTACTGCTGTACTGCTGTACTGGTGTACTGCTGTACTGCTGTACTGCTGCACTGCTGCACTGATGTACTGCTGTACTGCTGTACTGGTGTACTGCTGTACTGCTGTACTGCTGCACTGCTGTACTGATGTACTGCTGTACTGCTGTACTGCTGTACTGCTGTACTGCTGTACTGGTGTACTGGTGCAGCCAAGAAGGTACAAACTATCTACTTCTTTTGGTGCAGTGCTTGACACCGTACATATTTCTTGTGTGATGTGGTGTGTGTGTGTGTGCGTGCGTGTGTGTGTGTCTGCGTCTGTCTGTGTCTGTATGCGTCTGTGTGTTCATGTGTTCGTGTGTGCATTCGTGTGCACACACATGTGTGTATGTGTATGCGTGTGCGTGCGCGCGTGCGTGCACGTGCGCACGTGCGTGTGAATGTGCACGCATACGTGGGTGCGTACATGCGTGTGTTTGTCTTTTCCCTGTACAGATCGTCAGTATTCTGATTCCATGCAGCTTGAGGCACTGGAAATACTCTCTGTTGTCACAAATCATGCTGAACTGTTCATCCTTCGCCGCCAGCAACTTGAGAAGCAGCAAAGGGAAGACGCAAGTAAGTGCAATATGTCCTGTTTGCTGTCCCAGAAGATCGGTGCTGTCTTGTGTTTGCATTGCCGCTATCCGCGGATGCAGTGAATGGGATTTTCGGTCTTTGACCACTTGCTGGTGAGCTGATCTACTCACCTCCCACCGCTTTAGGAGCTGTATCTGCGCCTTGATCCTTGAAGGGTGGTGGCGTTCCTACGGATGCGGAAAGCCCGGCTTTCAGCCGAGTCTCACGCGAACCGTGAAAATTAAAAATATCCGCGTGCATGTGTGTGTGCATGTGTGTGTGTGAGGGTGGGGTGGGGGGTGGGGGTGTACGTGTATGTGAGTGAGCAGGCTGTCCTGGATATTTCGGGTGGAATGTGCATGTCCTATTGCCGAACTCTGAAGCCCTGGATTTTGTGCGTGTGTATGTGAATATGCATCTGTGCGTGTTTATATACGTGTTTGCTCGTGCAGCCATCACGGATTCCACCCCGTTAGACATCATGCTCAGCAAGACGTTGTCAAGCTATGGCTTCAACAAGAACAGGTTACTAACAATGGCACAGACACTGCAGTCGCGTGGTATCAACAGCAAACTAGGCCTTCTCGACAGCTGGGACGTTGCGCGAAGTGCCATCGGCTCAAACACGGTCCTCTTCGACAAGCTACAGGAGGAAATGAGGAGACAGCATGGACTGGTTTTTGCGCAGTGAGGTCCGTGTTTGGAAATCACTGGTCTGAATGTGAGAAGTGCTGCTAGTTATTTGTGTGTGTGTGTGTGTGTGTGTGTGTGTGTGTGTGTGTGTGTGTGTGTGTGTGTGTGTGTGTGGTGTGTGTGTGTGTGTGTGTGCACGCGCGCGTGGGCGTGTGTGTGTGCAGTTTATTCGTGTGAGCTCACGATTATCCGGCGATTCTCAATTTGAGCCCATGTAAGCGTTCCTGAGCATGCCCGCCCGCGCGCGCGCGTCCGTGCACAATGGTGGGTGTACACAGCATGCTTGGCACTGCCGAGTGAACATGTTGCGCTCACTCAGTAAACACCGAGAGAATGCGTCCGGTTCTCGCCACGTGCGCTTGCCACCACAGTTGAAGGAAATGTGCTACACTGAGGTGTGCAACGTGTGCTTAGGAATAACTGTCCTTTCAGCGGTTTGCTTTGTGTTATCACGTATAGCTGCACGGTGTTAGTCGGTGTGGAGTTCTGGAGGAAAGCGCTTTGTCTGCTGTAACATGATTTGGTGTCCGTTGACTGCGAACAGGCTGGGCTTGGCTGCGCTTCTTTCTATCTACGTCGTCTCTAGGCTTGCCTGTTGTCAAACTTCCTCTATAAAGATGTTCATTGCCATAATAAATTATAGTTTTCAATATCACAATTTAAATTTGTCCTCAGACTTTTCTCGTTTGCGTCTTTCCCTCAAACCAATGAATACAGATTTGTTTTATATGAAAGATTTTTATAGGCCGGCCCTTTCTTTTCGAACTTATTTTATTCCTGCTACTAATATAATGCAAATTTCACTTTACACTTTTACAATCTCCCCTCCATTTCCCCTACAATTGATGTATCTCTTCGATGATGCAACTTCTCTGATTGTGTTATCTCAGCAGTTACTTGAGCAATCTCTGCAAAAACCTTTAGGCAGCTGGATTGTTTTATTGAAAATTCGAATGTTTGAAAGTCTCCTCACTACCAGATCTCTAAGCCGTCAATGTGTGGCGACTCCAGCACTGGGCGGCATGCTCGTGGTCAGTCCCAAAAAACAGTAAAACTCCCTATATCCGGGCACGTCCGTCTACCAGGCACCTTTCTGACCTATCTAGAGTCACAAAAATTTGCTTTTCAAGCGCTTGGTCCCAACCTGCCCGCGTCTGGGGAGTTTTACTGTGCAGCGCAGGCTCATTGTAAATATTTGTTCAACTATCACTCCACACAACAACTGATCACGATTGGTATTTTTTGGAGGGGTTTCATGTGCCCGAAATTTATAAATCATTCGAATCAAATTTTGAAACATCTGAGAGCAAAGTGGTGCTGTTCCAAAGCAATGATCAGGGAACAAGAGAATCGTGATAAGGTGAGAAACATTTTGAAGTTGTGGGCCGCGGTCACCCTGGGCAACCCGGTGCCCGGCCACCTCTGGGGGCATTTTGCTATGACAACCCGGTGTCATGTGTTTGCCCGAAGCTGCGGGCAGGCGATTGACCGCCAACCCCTCATGCCTCCAAGAAAGGAAGTGGGTGGCCGCGGACGCAGGGCCGTAACTTGAATGCAACTTAGGCACATGAACCCCGTGAAGCTTCGAACTGCTCTCTACGCTAGCTCTGTCTGCTGATACGCTGGCATGCCCGACGAGACACGGACGTACGCCTTGTACGCAAAGCTTGACCAGCGCCCTGCCGCTTGAATTTGTCATTCTGGGGCCTGTCGTTCGGCCATGGCCGTAGCACCACCGATCCGCAGAGAATGGCTTGAAACCCCTGGGCCGAGAGCCCTCTTGAGAATGGCGTTTACGTCGCTCGGGGTTAGGCGGCGCCCCTCGCGGAAGGCAAAGAACGGGGCACCTGTATCCGCCCACTCCCTGGCACTTATGTGGGCAGCGACCCCACCCATCTGCAATGTGGGGACACGGTGGCAGCACCAAACGCAGTGGATAATAAGCAAGCAGTTAAGCCAGTACGAAGAGCAGAACATGACCAACCATCGCATCGCTGTGCCCAGCTACAATCTGTCCCTGCGGGAATTTGCGGAAAAAACTCTCGAAAACTTGCGCAAGAAATTGCGGCAGAAAGTAACAAAAATGCGACGAAAAGTGAGGAGTGATGCAGAACTTGCTAGGAATTCGCGGAATTATTTGCAGAATATTGCGGATTTGGGCCAAATCACGAAATTTGTTGCATCGTATATCTACTCGGGTCGTCGGGAGTCGTACTGCGCAAATAACCTACAGCATCATGGAAAGAACTGCGTGAAAAGTGCATAAAAATGTGAGATATAGTGCAGAAAACTACAACAAACGCAGGAAACGACAACAAACGCAGGTTTTGCTGAAAATCGCGGGTTTGGGCCAAAATCGCGAAATTTGTTGCACCCGTGGAATCGCGATTTCCTGGAGGGACAGTACAATGACTTTGAAAGCAAACTAAGGGGTCGTCCGCAATTATCGAAAGTTTTTTCCAATCCGTAGTAGCTTCGAAAGTGGGTGGGTGGGTCAAGGCCAGTTACGGATTGAAAAACTTCCGAAATGATACGTGCGCGTGCCACGTGTACGTCTACGTGTAGCCCCCAGGGAGTCGTAAAATACGACTCCCTGGTAGCCCCTGTTTTCCACGCGCGGCTGCGCGCGAACTGTCTACTACAAAATAATTAATTATTATTTTTGTAGTTCTGGCAGTTTCTGCGCCCCCGCGCGCGCTTCCTTGGCTGCTCCTGGGCCGGGGATCATAAAGTTCGGCGCATTCGACGGCGAGTCGACACTTTCTATTTTTGAGTTTCACTGTCTCCTTCGTCCAGAGTACCGTCTTCCATGCACTCCTTTGAAGTCCTTCCGTCTAGCGCTGGCGCTGACGACTGTTATTGACGATGTCCAGACAGGCGACGTTGTTTGGAAAGGCGGTGAAGAAGCAGAACAAGAACATTTCGGTGATCACCAATTAAACATCAATAATGGTAGTTTTAATACAATACATGATGTCACTATGACTCATGGACCAGCACTGATTGAGTTTGTTCCATATGTGTTGGGTTGTGTGTCCATCAATAATATTTTATTACGGACTGAGGGGGTGGGTGGGTGGGTGAGAAAAAATTTGAAGCTACTACGGATTGGAAAAAACTTTCGATAATTGCGGACGACCCCTAACTGGTTGCTTGCGATGCGTATTTATTTACTGAAGCATCCCGGTATTAATGCACCGGTTTGGACGCGTTTGAGCATCCCGGTGCTCGCCTTACAATCATCAGCGTCCGTCGCCAGTTTGCGTATTTAGAGCATCCTGGTGCCAGCTGTACTAAATATGGGCATTTTAGGTATCCCTTTCACTACCTGCCCATCCGTGTAGGCATCCCGGTGCCGGACATATTATTACGTGTAACCCGGTGTCTGTCCAGGTGTGATAAGCATCCCGGTGCTCGCTTACCGCTTAAAATTATTATGGGCATCCCGGTGCCCGCTTACCCCTTGACTAACAATTATAGGCATCCCGGTGCCAGCTTACCGCTTGACTAACAATTATAGGCATCCCGGTGCCAGCTTACCGCTTGACTAACAATTATAGGCATCCCGGTGCGCCTTACAACGCAACCCGCTCACATATGCATCCCGGTGCTCTCCTTAGTATTGTTACGGGCAACCCGGTGCCCGTCTGGGTGTTAAAGCATCCCGGTGCTCGCTTATGGCTGTGGGCAACTTGGCCCCCTACTGCTTGTTTTAGTTCCGCGCAATTAAATGTGAATTGCCGTAAAAAGTTAAGAATGCATCACTTAGCCGCGCATCAAGCCCAGAGTGTAACGTGTACGCATTCTAGGCACCGGCGGATAATGCTAGCAGAATAACTAGCATAATGACCCATGTGGGGAAGACCGGCACTGCCCTAGCATAAAGTCTCCAAATGTGACCTTGTCTAGCACAATCGATGTGTGAAAGTAGCACTACGTCCAATCTGTTGGCACCACAGTGAAAAGTAGCGCTATTTTTAGAGCGCAGAGAGACACACTGGTGCTCCCTGCGACGCTGGCAGCCCTCTGTACCAATGTAATGAAAATGTAAGCATTCTTTCACTGTGTTCGCCCTGCGATACTGCCATACTCCGAGTGACTGCAGAGGGAAGTCATTATTTCCCACCGCAAGTATTGCCATTTTGTAGCACTATCAGCACTGCTAGCATCATAACTAGCTCAATCGCTCCAAATAACTAGCAGTGCTAGTAGCACAATTTCCACATATAACTAGCATTATCCGCCGGTGCCTAACGCATTCACGCTAAGGCCATCTTGGTGCCGGCCCACATAATTATCGCTCGCATAGGCATCCCGGTGCCAGTCTGAGTGCAATGAGTATCCCAGTACTCAACTTAAGCATTACGAGGCATCACGGTGCCATGCTTTCAATGTCGCTTGGGGGCATATATGCGGCTACCCTGAAATAGGGGCATAGCAATACCACGATGCCAATACGCCTATGACCGTTGACAGCAAATTTTTGGTTTTTGCAAGATTGCACTATATGAGCGCTGCATAGCCACTTCCTTCCAAAAGAGAACAGCGAAGCGGGGGGGGGGGGGGGGGGGGGGAGGAGAGCCGCCCGTGCTAAAGGGTGGGCGAATAGTAAGGGAGAAGTTGAAGTGAGAAATTGGTTTCGGTGTAGTTGGTATGGCAGACAAAATAACAATAAGTCAGTGTAGTGACGGCGAAGACCAGACACAGAAAACGGACACCCCATGGGGCTGTGAATATAATTGGGAGACATCATCAGACGATCTGAGTTGGCAGTGGAACTGGGTCCGGATTGGCAGACGGAGCTAGCGAGCGGAAGCAACTGAGCTGTAGACGGGAGAGGGCGTCCGCAATACTGTTGTCGATACCTGCGATGTGACGGATCAACAGGATGAAGTTGTAGCGTGCCGCAATACGCAGGGTGGTCTGTATGAGATTCATAACCTCCAGATTCCGGCATGAGCCCGATTCCCATGCTGTTGCGACAGCTTGAGTGTCGCAATGGAGGAGGATCTTCTTCGTCTGCCACTGCGGGCCCCACAATTCCGCGGCCGAAACAATGGGATACATCTCCCGCCACATGATAGAGGAGAAAGGGCCGTCCGTGCTGGTGCTCTGGACCCCATTCTTGGCAAAACCAGGCACTCTGAAAGAAACCTCCGAATCCCAGCCCGGAAGCATTGGTATAGAGCTCAAAGTCAGGGGGTGTTGTGAAACCACAAGTTCTCGAGAGTGAAAGGCCTTCTCGCTTGTGACATTGTGTTCGTTCCAATGCAGTTGTATTCCGACTCCGCCGTACCGTTGATGTTTACGACGTAGTATACGCTACATACGCTATGTGCGGTTTGCTGTGTGCGCTGTAGTTGTATGTTGTATGTGTATGCTTTTCTCATATACGCTGTCATTTTCACGCTATAACTACCTGGTGGTTTTAGTGTTAGTTTTTCCAGTTCAGTTCAGTTAGTTCAGGTCATTCAGTTGTTCCATTCATTGTTCATTGTTATTAGTCGATGGAAGTGAAAGATATTGTTGAGAATAAATAGTTGTCCTCGTGCCGTGTGGGGTCGTTCGTTCCTGATACTTTAGAGAACCAGAGGGTTCACAACATTTGGCGACCACGCCAGGATACGAAGCGAGCATGGCACAGGAACTATGGATCATCGAAGCCAGCTTTATCGCCAACGGAATTCGGTATGGATTTGAAGGCGATAGGTTGAGAGAATACGTGGAGAAGAGGCTCCGACAGAGCGAGGAGTTTGAAGAGCGCAGTGCTAGAAGGCAAGAGTGTGCGCTCCGCACAGAGTTTAACGAAAAGCTCAAGAAGATGGCCGAGCGCATCGCCGTCGGTACATATTATGAGGAAGCAAAGCGAGATTTGCTTGCCTCGCCCGGAAGGACGCCGGCCAAGGCGTGTAAGACTTTGCTTACAGACAAGCAGCGGTCAGAAGAGTATTCGAAGCCAGTGGGAGGATCAGATCCAAGG